TACGTTTAAAATGGAGGGGCACTGCCTGGTTCCAAGACTACAGTGGTACCTCGGGTTAAGTACTTAATTCGTTCCGGAGGTCCGTTCTTAACCTGAAACTGTTCTTAACCTGAAGCACCACTTTAGCTAATGGGGCCTCCTGCTGCCACCACGCCGCCAGAGCACAATTTCTGTTCTCCTCCTGAACCCGAGGTACTATTTCTGGGTTAGCGGAGTCTGTAACCTAAAGCGTATGTAACCCGAGGTACCACTGTACTTATTTCTTTAATATACTTATATCCCGCCTTTCTGTCTGGTAACAGGCCTTCAGGGTAGTTTAGAATAAAATAAAAGGCTAAAGGAAAAGTAATTTCTGAGGGTGTTCTGGTCTACCTAAACCAGGGATGGGGAACCTTTTATGGTCAGCAGGTCAGAGAGTTATCTTCCCACCCTTGGTGGGCCAAACCTGACTCACAGTGATGTCAGATGGTGCCCGAGGCTCTCAAAAGTATCATTTGCTTTTGAGAGAAATAAGTGTGGCCTTGCTTTGGTCCCATCCATCACAGGTTCCAGCCCCACCCAACACTGGTATGCAGCCTTCAGGGAATACAACATAAAAAGGTTGCCTGAACTTGAACGAAGGGGTACCATTTGTTTCCCTTATCCCATCTAGTTTGACAGTTGCACACTTACTTCTCCCATGCTCCCTAAGCCTGGCAAGCAGCACAAGTCCAAAATAAGGTTGTCAGGAACGTCAGTCACCTCAGGAAATGATAACAGCACATCACCCTTCTCCACACACTGCGCCCAGCTATAGTCTCCAACCCAAAATCTAAACGGCATCAGCAGTCAAAGAAACAGGCCGTACCTTTCTGAGATCTCCTTTGCAGCAATATTCCATAGCCAAAAGTGGGACGTCATTGACAAGGAAATTCATCTCGTCAGGCACTTCACAGGCTTTTACAATATTGGGATGGTTCAGCCTAAATAAACGAAGGAAAGAAATTGGAAGTATTCTGAAAATGCATACTACTACAGACAATCCTTTCCTTCTGAATTTCATGAAGCGGCGCAGGATCAAACATTTTGTTTTGAAAACTGGGATAGATAAAACCAAACTTAGCTTAATCAAGCCTATGCAGTTTGAAAAATAAGATGGGAATTCTGAGAAGCAGCGCAGCAGCTGCAGCGGCAAGCCTTCCAACGGAAGATGCTGCTACAGGGTCGAGTGGTGACTCTCAAAGAACAGCAACTGTACGGCTGATATGCCTTCTGCTTCCAAACAAGCCTCTTGGAGCACAGCAGCAGCCATTACAACATCCCTCTACCCACCAGGCAGAAAGAAGAATTTGGAAGGGGACACTAACAATGAAGCAGCAGCAAAACTTCAAAATGGGTGCTGAGATGTGCAAAATCGGAACCATCAAATGCCAAACGCATTTCAGATACACCTTCCTCAGGGGCAAAATATGACTGGTTACGATTGTCTACAACTAACAGGAGACTCTCCTTCCTTCAGCCTTTCGTCTTCACAACCCCATGGCTGTGTCTGTATGTGGTTGTATCCTGGATGGGAGAGATAGAGATTGGTTTTGTCTCTCCACCAATGGATTCCAAGTTTAGCAGATATCTTGGCACAAATAAGATCCATTGAAACTGCTTTCAGGGGGACCCACCAGCAAAGATCCAACCTTTGGGCTTATGGTGACAGAAATACAACCATTGAATCATAGAACTGTAGAGTTGAAAGGGACCCCATGGATCCTCTAATCCAACCCCCTGCAATGCAGGAATCTCAGCCAGATCATACATGACAGATGGCCATCCAACCTCTGCTTAAAAACCTCCAAAGATGGACCTACTTTTTCATGATCTGGATCTCATGGCACCACCGATCTTTGTTTTTCACACTTAGTTCCAAGCGACATGACTTGATTGCTATCTTCGTACCCAGATCCTACAATTGACAGGAGAGAAACCACAAGAGAGGGTTAAAATGTATTACCACAGCAGCATATTCCACATCTAGAAGGAGCTGTCCAGGCATTTTTAGGACTATAGCTATTCCCTTCTGGGATACACCAGCTGCCCTTGCTTTCGTTTCAAGCCCCTTTTTGTGGAAAATTAAGGGAAAGCATCAAAGAGGTATCCTACTGAACTTCTTTTCTTTAAGGTGATAAACAAAATAAACTGAAGATGAAAACATACAGAAATGTTCCCGAATGTCAAAGCAGGTTTGAAAGCAGCATAAAACTGAACAATATGTATTGTTAATGTATCATTCGGAAACATTAACAAAAAGACCCAAACCCCACCCATTCCCCCATAAATCTGTTAGGCTGGTTTATAAGTGTATCCTTTTGTTATAAATTAGGTTAATCTCAGTTACCTCTTTAAGGTTTATTACACTTTTTAAGTGTGTTTGTGGGAGGGGAATTATTGGTTTGTTTGTTTTGGTTTTATGTATTTTGCATTAATGCTTTGTATTTTTCTGTTGTGAACTGCCCTGGGATCTTCAGGGGAAGGGCAGTATACAAATTTAATAAACTATATATAGATTATCAAACATTAATTACTACTTTTTTGCGTTATTTTGTGAAATTTGGCATGCTGCTCTGCTCAATTGCTGAAGAAAAAAAAGAGGGGGGGGGGGAGAGGGAAAGCCACCTCCTTCAAAGCAGTTTTAGGAAAAATGACAAAGCAGGGCATTTAGCTGAAGTGCCAGGGGTAAACTTAAAACCTCTTGCATTGGCTTGGGGGTGTCGGCTGGCTTGTTTTCTCAACTGGGCAGGAAGATGGTGATCTGAAGGTGGGGGATATTTTACTTTACTTCTTCTTCTTTCCCCCTTTCATCCCATTTTATCTTTTAGATCTCACCACCTCAGCATTTTGAATTTTTAAATTATTATTATTATTATATTTTATTATTATATCATTTTGGGGTTTTTTCTTTTCTTTTCAGTATCTACTTTTCCATACCCTCCACCCCCTTTTTCTATTTACTTACTATTATGGTCCCCTTCCCTTCTCTTTTCTGAATAAACAAACAAACAAATAAGAATACTGTATATCTATAGGCATACTGGGGGCGGGTTATTGGGTTGCTGTTTTTATTCTGAATATATGTGTGTGTGTATATATATATATATCTATATATATATAGTTTTATATATATAGATATATAGTTCTGTGAACCGCTCTGAGACCTCCAAGTATTGGGTGGTATATGAATTTAATAAACAAACAACAAGAACAGAAGACGACGACAACAACAAGACCACCACCACAATAATAATAATAATAATAATAATAATAGAAGACCACAGCGCAGGGCCAGATTTAGGTTTGATGAGGCCCTAAGCTACTGAAGGTAATGGGGCCCTTTATATTTCCAGCTGCCCTTTGTCAACAACAAACTGTCATCACTGTTTTTCGTGTTGAATATATGCTATATGGCAATTTACGGACCTAATAGGTATCTCAAGCCATTTGCACATAACAAATGGGAGCCTACACAACACAAAACACTGTTGCTTTATGTAGGTTTTATTAGTTTTGTATCTAATATTTTGGAAATGTGCACCCCAAGAGAGTGGGGCCCTAAGCTATAGCTTGTTTAGCTTATACATCCGTAAACCCGGCACTGCCACAGCGCAGGGAAGGCGCCTGCGCGCCTTGCTATCAAGAGGCGGGGAGTTCCGAAGGCCACGAAAGGGCCGAGTTGCTCCGCGTTCGCCCCCCCCCGCCCTCCTCCTGAGGCGGCTCCCGCCCCCCCCCCTCGCCCGCCCCCGCGAACCCACCCGGTGCTGGTAGAGCGAGACGTTGCCGAAGCCGCCGGTGCCGAGCCGCTCCCGCATCTCCCAGGGCTCGCAGGCGGCGCTGCCGGGCGGACCCCCGCGGAGGGACGGCGGCCTCTCCATCCTCCCTCCCTCCCTCCGCGCGGCCTGCGCCGCCCCCGACTCCCGCCGCTCGCCTCACAGCCGAGACCGCGCCAGCTCTCGCGAGACTTGAGGGCAGGCCGAGAGGCCGCCGGCGTCGTGGGCGGAGGGAGGGAAGCGCTCCCTGGAGACCGGGGGGGGAGGGGAGGGGCAAGGGGCGGAGCTTTCTTCTCCTTTCCCTTTCCACCAATGATCTCTCTCTTTCTGCCCTCATGCTGCATTTTCAATAGAATCGTTGAGTTGGAATGGGACCCCTCCGGGTCATCTAGTCCAACCCCCCTGCCAAGCAGGGATCTTATCTGGGTAGAATACTGAGCCGAGCAGGCTAACGGTATGACACACACACACACACACACACACACACACACACAATTTTATAATAATATTATAAAATAATTTTATAATAATATTATAATTTTATAATAATATTATAAAATAATTTTATAATAATATTATAAAATAACAACAATAATAATATTATTATTATACACACACATACACACACACTGCTTTTTTCTGGGGGTACGCATACCCCTAAACATTTTGTGAATCTTTGTACTTTTGTCCATTTACTTTATTTATTTTCCTGATTCGAAATATAAAATGGTGATTTTCTTGAGTCAAAATAAGAGTACCTCTCAACATTTTTTTTAAAAGCAAGGGTAGGCAAACTAAGGCCCAGGGGCCGGATCCGGCCCAATCGCCTTCTCAATCCGGCCCGCGGACGGTCCGGGAATCAGCGTGTTTTTACATGAGTAGAATGTGTCCTTTTATTTAAAATGCATCTCTGGGTTATTTGTGGGGCCTGCCTGGTGTTTTTACCTGAGTAGAATGTGTCCTTTTATTTAAAATGCATCTCTGGGTTATTTGTGGGGCCTGCCTAGTGTTTTCACATGAGCGGAATGTGTGCTTTTATTTAAACTGCATCTTTGGGTTATTTGTGGGGCATAGAAATTCATTCATTCCCCCTCCCCCCCAAAAAATATAGTCTGGCCCCCTCAAGGTCTGAGGGACAGTGGACCGGCCTCCTGCTGAAAAAGTTTGCTGACCCCTGATCCAGACCTTCTGTTTTTGAATTCCAGCTCCCAGCCCCTGCTTACAAGACTAATATCCGTTCTAATATATTATGTTTTTTTCCAGGAACTGGTGCTTATTCCCAAGTAAATGTCTTAAGCAGGACGGCTGCAGAAATAGACCCCATGACGGTGCCACGATTTGAGTGAGTTAAAACAACAACCACCGTGAAACAGTATACACTCTATTTTTTTATTTTTGTTTCTATTTTCGCTTATGATGTTATCTGCTCACAATTTATCTGTAAATAATTAATAAACCATTTCCATTCTTTCATAAAACATTTGTTGCCTTGATTTCTTATTCTTCCGGTAAGTTTTGCCATTTCTGCATATTCCATAAGTTTTTGTATCCATTCTTCCTTTGCTGGCTTCTTTCCATTTTGGTGTGCGTAACATTCTTGCCGCTGAATAAGTTTATGTACAGTTTAGGTATAATTCTGTCCCTATAATTCCCAAAAGAAAAGCTTCTGGTTGTTGTTTTCTTACAAACATTATTTTAAACATCCTTTTCAATTCATTATATATCATTTCCCAAGAAGATTTAACCTTTCTACAAGACAACCACATTCTTTTTACATTTCCAACACTTCTTTGATTCAGATTTATAATTTTTTGCCAATATTTTATATTTTAGTCTGGATTTTCCCCCTTGCCACGCCTCACCCAGTTAAGACAATTAAGCCTGGACATGAAATTCCCATTGGTCCACTACTGCCGCAAAAATTGTTCTCAGAGGGTGATGGGAGCAGCGGTAGCATCGCACTGCAGGAAGGATACCTCCTCCCCACCTGCCCATTCTTACCCATGGGCATAGCAGGGGGCAGCTGTCCCCCCACCCTAAATCACGTAAATCAGTAATAATACTAAATTAATTGAGGTTCTGCCTGCCTAACATGAAACCTGCCCCCCCAAAAAACATACATTCTGGCTAGGCCCATGCTCTCAACTTGAATTTTTTTAAAAATACAGTTTGTATTAATTTTTTTAAAATTTACATTTCAAGAGAGTCATTTAGACAACCTTAAATCAATGACTTCTCTTCTTCTCTTTCCTTGGTTCATTTTGCAGACCGTAAGGTAAAGGTAAAGGTAAAGGGACCCCTGACCATTAGGTCCAGTCGTGACCGACTCTGGGGTTGCGGCGCTCATCTCGCTTTACTGGCCGAGGGAGCCGGCGTACAGCTTCCGGGTCATGTGGCCAGCATGACTAAGCTGCTTCTGGCGAACCAGAGCAGCGCACGGAAACGCCATTTACCTTCCCGCCGGAGTGGTACCTATCTATCTACTTGCACTTTGACATGCTTTCGAACTGCTAAGTTGGCAGGAACAGGGACCGAACAACAGGAGCTCATCCCGTCGCAGTGATTCGAACTGCCGACCTTCTGATCGGCAAGTCCTAGGCTCTGTGGTTTAACCCACAGCGCCACCTGCGTCCCTTTTGCAGACCGTACATCCCTGCATATTTTTACATGAACTAAACCATTCAGTAAATCCATTCTTACACCATCAACACTTCTTTACACTGTTGAATGAATGAATTTATCTCCAGAAATTCACCTTGCATTTTAATTATGCTACGAGATTTGGTGGCCCAGTCCGTAGTGCATGAGACTCTTCATCTGAGGGTCGTGGGTTCCAGCCCCACTTTGGACAAAAGATGCCCGCATTGCAGGAGGCTCGACTGGATGACTCTGGGGACCCCTTCCAACTCTGCCGTTTTGTGATTGCAATTGATCACTGCCATCGGTCTCACTGGAGACGCGTTTCTGCTTTAAACGTGGCGATGCTGCAGTGCCCGGAGCGTGTTGGTGCCCCCCCTCCCCCAACCACAAGATGCGGGGGCGGCGACGCGTGCACTGGGAACGTGGGCACGGCGGGAGGCGCGCGCCGAGAGAGAGAGAGAGAGAGAGAGAGAGAGAGAGGCAGAGAGCGCGCTTGCCAGCTAGCTCCGGTCCGTGCGCTCCCCCCGCGGGCTCGGGCTGCAGGCGTCGTGCGAATCGGGTTCGCCTCCCCCCGTGGGGCCACCGGACGGCGGAGGGACCCCCTACCTATCGCGGCAGCCGGCAGATCCTCGCCTCCCCGCCGCCCGCGGGTGCTGCCTGCAGGCAAGGCGCGCGGGGCGGCGCGGGATCCGGAGGATCCGCTTGCCAAGGGCGCGCGGTAAGCGGAGCCAGCCCCTCGCGCGGACGCCTGCCGCGCTTTGGCCCTGCCATGGATGCGGCAAAGCGGGGTGGGGGGAAGGAGGGTGGCGTTGGGGCTCGGGAGTGGGGCTGACAAGTGGGGCTGGGGGGCTGCAGCACGTACTGGGGCCGAGGTCCCTTCGCTGCCCCCCATAAAATATTTGGAGGGCCTGCCGCAAAAAATGGGCATTGCCCATCCAGTGGTGTGGGTGCGCCCCGTCGTGCGATCAATGATGTGGGGTGGGGCTTACCTACCCCCTCCAATATTTTCTACAGGTTGGCAACCCTGGCGGCCGGTGGGGGCGGCAGTAAGGGCATCCTTGCATGCAGGGCGAGGAGGCTACGGCGGCCTCCCCTTTGCCGGGTGCGCGTGAAGGGGCGCCCGCTGGGGTTCCCTCTCCCCCTTGTCCCCCACCTCACCTCTCATTCTCCTGGCCGCGGGCATTCCCTTGGCCCCTGCCGCCTTCCCGGCGTGATCCTGGTGTGCCAACACCGCCCCGGGCAATTGCGCCCTAGGCGCACGTTCCGTGGCGCAGAGAACCCCAGGCTCGCTCTTGCTTTGGCTAAGCACAAAGGGACCGTGTTTCTTAGGTAACCAGTGGTACTAGCACAGCGATGGCTGTGTATTTTATCAGGTTGCCCACGTTTACATCCTGCTGCCTTTCCCCTCTTGAGTGGTGCTGCAGGAGGAGGAGAGGCAAGGGGTTGCAAGAGATGCAAAGCTTCGCCTGGCACCTATATCGCCTTGCCTCCATCGGCAAGCATCTTATCTCGCAGACATTTTAGTCTTTAACATGCCTTAAGTGTTTTTCAGACCCTTTGCACTACTGTCCTGTCTGGCTTTGCTTTCATGTCACGGCTGTTTTAGTTAACCTGTTTCAGATTTCAGGTTTAATTTTGTGCACACATAAATTTTGCAGTTTTAGCTAATGTTTTGTGCTCTGGACAGAGGACGTTGGCTCTTAGGTGACAGAGAAATGCAGTAAGTAAATACAGTGGAACCTCGGGTTAAGTACTTAATTCATTCTGGAGGTCTGTTCTTAACCTGAAGCACCTCTTTGGCTAATGGGGCCTCCTGCTGCTGCCGCGCAGCTGGAGCACAATTTCTGTTCTCATCCTGAAGCAAAGTTCTTAACCTGAAGCACTATTTCTGGGTTAGCGGAGTCTGTAACCTGAAGCGTATGTAACCTGAGGTACCACTGTACAGTGGTACCTCGGGTTAAGTACTTAATTCGTTCCGGAGGTCCGTTCTTAACCTGAAACTGTTCTTAACCTGAAGCACCACTTTAGCTAATGGGGCCTCCTGCTGCCACCGCGCCGCTGGAGCACAATTTCTGTTCTCATCCTGAAGCAAAGTTCTTAACCTGAAGCACTATTTCTGGGTTAGCAGAGTCTGTAACCTGAAGCGTATGTAACCCGAGGTAGCACTGTAACGTGGCTCTAGCACTAATTTACCGGAGACTCGGGCAGGGCAGCATCCTCACATTCAAACATGCCGCTTTGGGTGTCCTGTTTTTCAAACATTGCTGCTGATGCGCCCGTTTCCATTTCACTACAGGCCTGACCCACTTTCCCGCGAGGATGAAATGGAACACAGCCATCTGCTGGACTCTCATTCTGCTGCTTGCCGTCTTCTTCGAAGGCATCAGTTGCAAAGGAGGGCGTGGCGGCGCCCGAGGGGCAGCCAGGGGTAGCGCCCGTGGCAGTACGCGGCGGTCAAAATCTTCAACCCGCTACAGCTCAGGACTACGGGTGGCGGCTGCGGCGGCGGCAGGTGGCGCGGCTGCAGGAGCGGCCTCGGCCGTGGCTGCCGGCAGGATGAGGTCCGCTGGCGAGGGCGGCCCGGAATATGCAGAGGCACAGTCTGGCAACAGCACCGGCGAGGGCAGTTACAACTATCGGGCGTGGACCTCGGGTGCCGAATCCTGGCACCTTTCATATCTGCCTGCCTGCCTGCTGTGCGTGGCCAGATTCTTTACCCTATAAGCGGGGCGGGGGGCACTGCCTGCGAGGGGCCTTTACTCTGTCCTCCCCAACCTTTCCCCAACGTTCTCCAATTTTACTGTGGAGCAACTGCTCTGGGTTGTTCCTTTCCCTGATTCGGGCTCGAACATAGATGCTTCCTATAAGGAATGCTGGAATTACAATGGGGGGGTTGGATGTGCTATTTGCCAAAAGGTGCTGTATTCGGGTTATCTGAATCTGGTTTCCTTGCACAAGGTATCAAATCGTGTTCCCCACCCTTTTACGGTGCCCAGTCTCTCGGGAGCGATATATTCCTGTGGGAGCCATGTCACTCAGACCAGCACCACGTTTAAAGCCATATCAGTTGCTGTTGTCACCCGGGTTTAGCCAAATTCCTGCCCTGTGCCTGATTCCAAAGGTGCTCAAAAGATTTCCAGATTCCTCCTGTTACTGCCAGATTTCCCAGGAGGGGTTTTCTAAGCATGGTGCTTTACTGTGATGCAGGAAGGAATGGTGCCCTCTCCTTGCGAGGGCGATCGATTACCTCCCAACCCCATGGGCCCTTCAAACAGATGGGAGTTATTTCATGTGTTAACTTACTGTGACCACCATTGAGTTGCACAGGCTCTGTTAAAGTACTAGGAATGGTTGAAGTAAGAAGGTGTTATTGTAAGAAAGAAAGAAAAAAGGTGCAAAAGATAAGGTAAAGGGACCCCTGACCATTAGGTCCAGTCGTGGCCGACTCTGGGGTTGCGGCGCTCATCTCGCTTTACTGGCCGAGGGAGCCGGCGTACAGCTTCCGGGTCATGTGGCCAGCATGACTAAGCCGCTTCTGGCAAACCAGAGCAGCGCACGGAAACGCCGTTTACCTTCCCGCCGGAGCGGTACCTATTTATCTACTTGCATTCTGACGTGCTTTCGAACTGCTAGGTTGGCAGGAGCAGGGACAGAGCAACGGGGGCTCATCCCGTCGCGGGGATTCGAACCACCAACCTTCTGATTGGCAAGTCCTAGGCTCTGTGGTTTAACCCACAGTGCCACCCAAGTCCTGTGCAAAAGATAGCTGTATGTACGCATATTCAACTTCCGTCAAGCAGGGCACACTCAATAACTTCAGACCTATACGTAGCCCTTCCAGAACATACAGACCAAGAGTGGTTTTCACTATTATGGAAAGGGAACAGGAAGGGCAAATACTATGCTCTTCTTGGCGTTCCATATTCATCTTCTCCATAGCCAAAATATGAGAGCTGCCCCCTTGCATACAAGGGAAGGTTAAACACCTATTGGAGATGGAACAGAGGTACATGAACTAGATGTGTGAACTGCTTGCACCTCTACACTAATATGGCTTTATTAAAGTTCAGGATGATCAGCTATAGCCATCCATGGCGGGAGGGCGGGGGACACAGGGGAAGTGCTATAGCTCAGAGGCAGGGCTCATGATTTGCATATACAGTGGTACCTTGGTTTACACACTTAATCCGTTCCAGAAGTCCGTTCTTAAACCAAAGTGTTCTTAAACCAAGGCGTGCTTTCCTATAGCAGCTGGGGACTCAATTTACAAATGGAACACACTCGACAGGAAGCGGAACATGTTCTGCCTCCAAGGCAAAGTTCACAAACCAAAACACCTACTTCTGCGTTTGCGGCATTCTTAATCCAAGTTGTTCATAAACTAAGCTGCTTAAACCAAGGTATCACTGTAGAAAGTGACTGCTTCAATCCCTGGAATCTTTAGTTAAAGAGATCTCAGGTAGCAGAGGCAGAGAAAGACTTCTGCCTAAGGCTGCTCCCCACCCCCCACCTCCAGAACCAGCAGAAGTTAGACTGCTAGGCAAAATGGGCAGATTGTCCGAATTGGTACAAAAAGGCAGTACAAAAAGTTTCAAAGAACTTCAGCTAAAACTAGCTGTATAGCAGGAGCTCCGCTTCGGATTAAGGTGCCCAATGAAGTCAGTGGCTCCTTGTCCATTTAAATGCCAATAAAAACCACTCTCTTTCAGCTTGTAAGCCAAGTTTACAAATTTAAAAGGAAACTTATTCCATGGTGGCAGCATGCTTAGGGTTGAAGTCTTACTGCCAAATCTTAGGGGCCAACTGCAGCAGAATGAATAGTGACACAACTTGTGCCTGGCTAGGAGACACGGGCTGCCTCTCACACGTTCTCCATCACAGCTCCAAGCTGCCGCTGCTCAGCAGTCACAGCCAACACTGGCACCAGTTCAGTCTTCGTTATTTATTTTCCTGTTTTTAGGTTTTCGCTTAGCTCGCCACAAAGAAAACAGTTTTAAAATGTGTGTGCACATTACGCTAAGTCCTTATCAGTCCAGTTCCAACTCTTTGGACCACATTTTGTGCGACAAGTAACTTTTTACAGTAGCTTTTGTAATAAGTCAAACGTGAAGATCCTTCACCTTGATTTTATGACGTTCGGTAAGAAATCTGTGGAGCTAAATAACAAGTACCGTGTGCTGTCTCCGGTGCCTCGGGGGTGGGAGCGAAAAGGGTGCTTCATTCATGAGAGATTCCACACGAGATATTTCCATGTAAGTAGCATGTTTACAAAATTACCTCTTCTGTACTTTGTAATCATGGGTAGCCCTCACCTATACAAAACGTGGGGAAATGGAGAGGCCCAATTTGTGACACTGTGTCTCAACACTCTTTTCTCGTGTTTGAAAGGTGATGTGAAAATAAAAAAAGAGAATTAATCCATGTTCATGTTCGTTTTGAAATCTTGTATTTTAAGAGCAACGAGTTGTGTAGTTATTTTTACAGCAACGAAGCAAATCACAGAGCACTGCAGACGACGAGAATAATTCGGACAATTTACCGTGTTATTTGTCAGATTACCTGTACACCTGCATAATTTATTCTAAATACAGTGAAATACATTAGGGGGGCAATACCAGGATCCAGGCCTGATAAATGCACTGATAAATGTCTCAGACATTTGATATAAAAACTGTTAGATAAGGTCAGTTTTTCACTACCTGAGCATCTTCAAAATTTAGTTTCAACTCTTGACTGCTCTTCTATTAAATCCAACGAGGAAGCAATCCTCATGTTGCCTCACAGGTGAACTGCTAGGTCCTTAAAACATCTCCTCCCGTCTGCCCCAACGCTACTGTTTCCCAAGCGTTGCTTTTGAATGCTTCCATCTTATTTCGACAGTATGTGCCATCAGGGCAGCCCCCAGCCATTACAATGGAAAATCCTGGCATGCTAGACTGGGGGAATAAATAGTTGAGATTCCTTTCTCATCCACATCGGCCCCTAATAAAGCGGAGAAGTCAACAAAATTCCAGCAAGAAGGACGAGAGCAGAAGAGCAAAGAAGCTGGAGACAGCAAAACAAATCAACAGCCCAGACCACTCTAAAGGGAAGAAGTTAACCAGCTCAGTCACTCCCGAATTATGTCCAATTTTTCCAGCCTGAGTAAAATGTCCCTTTGCATCAGATCAACTTTGTACAACAGATCTGCCCCAAGACATGGCCAAATCACATATTAATAATATATTCTAAGAGCAGGCAGGAGGCAACAAAGACGAGGTGCAGTCCTCGCCAAGAGTAAGGCAGCAGGAGGCAGAAATAACTCCTTTGAACTGGAACTATTTCTTTAAAAATCATTTACTAAAACCACTGTTAGCCACCATTCGGAGACAGCTGACATACATAGTTCAAACAAGTTAAAAATCAACATAATCTACATCACTTTTTTTAAAAAAAGTGGAATGGCAGCATTCTCGTGTTATTGCTTAGAAAGCAGAGACAAGCTGAGAATCATTGCCTGCCCCATACTGGCACAGGGAAAGCAGCAAGCAGCAGTGAAAAGCCCCCCGGAAGTAATAATCCCAAGGGTACTCAGGGTCATCAGTTAGCTTATTGCATGGGCAACTTGCTGACAAACTTCGCACAGACACCGCAACCTGTAAAAGGTTCCTTTCAATCACTGTGCTTCAGCTGCTGAAGAAAGCCTTTCCTCTCTCTCAAAATAAAAAACTCGTCCGACTGCTGCAACCTGGAGAAGGAACGGCAGGTGGGGCAGTGAGGGAAGACGTACAGAAAAGAGGGAGAAACGTAGCCAGTTACGGCCACTGCTGCCTGCTCCATCCTCATCTCAGGGCTCTGCAACTGCATCCACAAAGGAGATCAACCTGCCAGTGGCTCCAGACTTAAGGACGGCACACTGTTGTTCCAGGTAGAATCCTCCAGAATGACCCAGGAGAAAACTTCAGCACCGCCTAGGAAACTGCTGCCCTTAGTCAAGCATGACTTTCCCCAGGAGTCCCTTGCGGAAAGTGTGGATAAACTCGGACGCTGCTGCGTTGTAGTTTGGTGCCTTCACGGTCACATTTCCTGCCGGGCAAAAGGATGGAGAAGACCGAATTACAGAACTGTCTGTGCCCATTGTGGCGATTACACAGGGCCCCCAGACGTTTGACAGTCTATTGACCCTGTGCCACCACTGTGATTGCTTTCTTCTTTGCCACCAACCCGTTTCTCCTCATGGGTAATAACGGAGTCCAGGCAGTTGTTAACATTAACAAATAATCAAGTTTATTTATAGGCATGAACAAGCTTATGGTTTCTGTTAATTTTCCTCGGTAGTTTCTTAAACTTAGCTCCCTAACTGTCTGTCCTATGCGTTCCTAACAACTTCAAACTGATTATTCCAACTATCTATCTGACTCCACCCAACAATTCCTCTCACTCTCTCACCACACAACTCAACCAACCCAGACTTAACCTCCCTCCTCCTCCTTCAACTCTCAACTGACTTTCACACAACTCCCCCTCTAACCCTAACTCCTCCTATCAGTTTCCACTGGCCAATCATATCACACTCATTTTAACCCTTATGACCCACCTAGGAGGCAAACGCCACACCCATCGTCACTATGTCGGGAGCAACAGCAGCAGCACACAAAGGCGATCACCAAACCTCGCCTTCCGAGGTACAGGACATCAGGAAATGCCAGCGGACACAGGGGACCCTGGGTGCTTCTCTACATGTGCTTTACCTCTAGCCTGAACTCTTTCCACCCCAATTTGCAAAATTTCCAGGCGGACACCTTAACACAGCCTAAACAGCTGGTGGCAGGGAGAGGAGGACGGGGCTCACCTGTGCCAGTCAGTACTTTGATTTTTTGAGTCTTGTCCAGGCTCAGAGCGATGCTCTTAAGTACACTCTCCACGTTATCCGAAGGACCATCCAGCCCATAACGTTCTACGTAACTGCATGGTCAAGGAACAAAAGGAGAGGTTTCTTTTTTAAAAAACAAGAAAACCAGGAGACTCCCATATCCAGTGTTTCCAACCCCAACCTGGAATTTAAGGGATTGTCTCACCTGAATTGCTGCCGCTGGTTCAGTGTGTAAAGAAGGTAATCGGCAATGACATCCTCACCCACCAGGTGATCCTTGATCGCTCCTGGGTGAAAAATGGCCAGAGGGATTTGTGGCAGAGTTGGGCCGATCTATACCCACCAAGCATCACCCTACGGCGAATGAGCAGCTGGAGATATGGTCAATAAGTGCCCAAGCTGAGCCAGATGTTCATTTGGGCAAGATCCAGCACACCCCCAAATCCTGGTTGGGCTGGGGCGCCAAGCAATGCAGAAACCAGGACTCCAAAGAGGTTTAAGTTAGCACGTGATCCCTGCTTGCCCCTACTGCCTTTCAAGCTTCATTTTAGTTAGTATGGGTCAGGATAAGTAAAGGTAAAGGGACCCCTGACCATTAGGTCCAGTTGTGACCAACTCTGGGGTTGTGGCACTCATCTCACTTTATTGGCCGAGGGAGCCGGCATACAGCTTCCGGGTCATGTGGCCAGCATGACTAAGCCGCTTCTGGCGAACCAGAGCAGCGCACGGAAACGCCGTTTACCTTCCCGCTCCGTATCTACTTGCACTTGGACGTGCTTTTGAACTGCTGGGTTGGCAGGAGCTGGGACTGAGCAACAGGAGCTCACCCCATCACAGGGATTCAAACTGCTGACCTTCTGATTGGCAAGTCATAGACTCTGTGGTTTAATCCACAGCGCCACCTGCGTCCCTCATGGGTCAGGATACACAGGGCAATATGCAGAGCCATAGGCGAGGAACTAATACAGGAAGATGGTTTAAAGAGCCAGCCCTGGACTTGTGAGCAAGCCTCACAGCTGCAGGTTTGTCGTTGTTGTTTTATTATTTGAATTTCTATACCGTTCTATATCTCGTGGTCTCAGGGTGGTTCACAGAACAATGTGGAATGATGGAGGGTGTGCCTTGCTATTATGCTGTAGCAGCAGATTCCCAGATGGGATCAAAAGCCTAAGAATGCTCTGTATTCTGCAAATTTTAAAAGTACGTTTGCAACATCAAGCATAAAGCAAGGAATTCAACATCACAGTATTATGGTCACTTTGTCAGCGCAAGCAATTCTGCTTGCCTTATTGAACAACCTACCCTCTTCTCCCCCTATGCGCTGTTCTAGAGGGAGTCTCCTGAACCCCCAGAACTATTGGGGGACATGGGATGAGAGTGGAGGAAGCCGTATTGTGCTAGCATGACTTCTGCTGGCTTCCACCAGTGCAATTCCTTAGTGGAATCTGGGCCAAAGTGCATTGCTTTGTTCAGTAGTGGAGTCAAACAAAAGTAGCAATGCTATTATCACAAATATGATTTCTTTTTTAGTCTGTCGGCTAGAAAAGTTATAGCAGCCTGAATTATAACATTTTAACATAACTCTTTCAAAAAATATTTCACTCATCACCCCAAAAGATTGAAATATATTAATTTTGCTCCCATTTCAGACTTTAAGAAAAAAGTTGACTTTTCTGGTTCCCTGGCAATGGATCCTATGTGGCTATTTCCATCCCCTGCCTGGGGCATTGGAGCAAGGTCAAGAATTCTTCTTGTTAATCCTTTTGAGTTGCTGTTTTACAAAAGCGGTGCGTATCAATTTTATGAAAATAAAATAAAATTGCCTCTCCTACCCAGACCCCATAAGTAGCATATATGCACCGAGTCCTCTTACCGCAGAGCGCTAACTTCAATCCTGTTTCCACACACCCAATCTGGGGAGACAGCACTCCAGGAGTATCCAGCAAGAACATGATGGGCCTTTCGCTCACCTGAAACATGGAGACATCTAATGTCATTTTGGGAAATGATGCTCTAAGAATACCCTTAAAAAGACAAATTAGCAGGAAGGATTCGAAACCTGCGGGACCAGAAATTTACCGAAGACTGGAGTAAATTTATGAACTATATGAAAAGTATTTGTGATGATCAGACGACGTTTGTAGGTTTGCAAGAAGTTCTGTGAGGAGTATTGTTGGAAATATTGTAAAAATGGAAAAAGGGAGATGATAAGTTAAGAGAGGTAAAGACAACATAAAATTAAGTAATGCATAAAAAGAGGTTAAGACGGAAGATCATCAGAGGTGCTGATGGAAGTCCCCCAAAAAGTGTATTTGTAGTAATTTGTGTGGTACGTTTTATAATTTGTATGTTAAAATTAATAAAAATGTATTCCAAAAAAAGAGAGAATACGCTTAAAAAATGGCTACCCAGCTCACTCGCAGTGCTCAAGAACCAGTGCAGCCTTCTGAATAGAAGGGTCCTGCTTGAGGCAAGACCCAGATTCTCTAGAAACATCCAGCCTTGATTACTACAACAGTTTACATACACACAGTTGCTTTGGGAAACTTCAACTGATTCAGAACACAACAGCCAGCCAGAGGCTCAGCAATGTATGAATTTTGCAGCAATTCTTAAGAACTGTCACAGACTCAAAGCTTGCTGGTGAGCACAATTAAAACTAGTGCTGCTTCTGCCTCATCAATCCCTAAACAATCTGGGATCAGACAATCTGAATGACCAGCTGTAGTAACTGATCTCAGCAACTGAGATCTTCATTGGATCTCCAGCTTCCACTGCCCTACAGGGGAAGGGATTTTTTTTCTTCTATAACTAAGACCCAACTGCAATTCTTTCCCCAAGGGAGATCCACCTGGAGTCTTCTCTATTATCTTTTAGCTGCCAGGGCTCACTTTGGTGCTGCTGATGCATCAAAAACCACGTGGGAAGGAGCAGCTAGGAGTTCCTGGTCTCTGTAGCTACAGCAGGCGCTGCGATTCTGTCGCGGTTTGACTTCACCCCCAGGGGTGCACTCCATTGTCCCCTGAAACAGACAGATGCCAACTACAACTGCCAGAGAAAGTCTGTCCTGTTCATCCCAGCATTTGCTAATTTAAATTTTCTATATACTGTATTTTTCGCCCTATAGGGTGCACCGGCCCATAAGGCGCACCTAATTTTTTTTTTTTTGGGGGGGGGAATAAAGAAAAATAATTATCCCCCCCCCCCCCCTGGCGCAGGGCTGGGGCGGGGGAAGCCCGAGCTTCCCCCCAACCCCAGCCCCCAGAACAGGCTGAGTTTCCGCCGGGCTCCCAAGGCTTGCGGATATCTGCCCGAAGCCCGGGGCACGCTGCTCAGCGCGCCCCAGGCTTGGGATACAGGCTGCTATCCACAAGACTGGGTAGCCCGGATAGCTTCTGAAGCCTGGAGAGCGAGAGGGGTCGGTGCTCACTGACCCCTCTCGCTCTCCAGGCTTCAGCGAAAGCCTGCCTTCGCCCCATAGGATGCACACACATTTAACCTATAGGGCAAAAAATACGGTAGTTTGGGCTTTGTCTTCTTAGGGTGTTGAAAGGTTTCTGACTCCTGACGATTTTCTGGAAGCTGAATTATATAATTGCTTTAAAAAACCTATTGGTGTGTAATTTTTTTCTGCTGCTGTTTTGTATTTTTAGGAAGTTTATTATTTACTGCTGATTTTATGTCTCAGCTTTCCTTCTAAGAAGCTCAGGGCAGTGTACCTGAGTCAACTCGCACCCAGCTCCATTCTATCCTCCCAACATCCGGTGAGATAAGTTATGCTGAAAGATAGCAACTTGCCCAGGGGCCAGCTCAGTAAATCTCATGGCCAAGTGGAGATTTGAATCTGGGTCTCCCTGGCACTAATCTGACCCGCTGACCCGTACAGTGGTACCTCGGGTTAAGTACTTAATTCGTTCCAGAGGTCCGTTCTTAACCTGAAACTGTGCTTAACCTGAAGCATCACTCTAGCTAATGGGGCCTCCTGCTGCCACTGCGCCGCCGGAGCACGATTTCTGTTCTCATCCTGAAGCAAAGTTCTTAACCTGAGGTATTAATTCTGGGTTAGCGGAGTCTGTAACCTGAAGCGTATGTAACCTGAAGTGTATGTAACCTGAGGTACCACTGTACACAAAAATGACACGCTGCTTTTCTACTAAAAATTTTAAATTATTATCACCAGCTGCCTCAAGCATTCCCAATTCATACAAATAGGAAGATGTAACACAGGCGCTCTCTGTTGACTTGTATGTTTACATCCGAAACAAATCTAACCAGACATAGAACCCACCTCTGCACATTTTGCAGGTCCGGCTTCTGTGAGCACAGAAGTTTTCCCTGCCACTTTGGGAGGCTACATATTCATGGCAACACTACCCAAGGACTGCCATTTATCACTGACGGAATATTCATCTGTGATACATCCTTCACTTTCATATACCCAGAAAAGGAGTCTTGCACTGCAGCCCCCTAGCCACTTCCCAATTTGTGCAAGGCCCGTCGCATTACCTGGATTCTGGTGAGAACTGCTCTGGTAATGCCTGGTGTCCCACCAACCATGGAGGCTTTCCCTTTGGGTTGGGCAGAGGGGAGAGAGAAAGAAAGGGGATTGGGAGAGATCAGCAGTTACACGCAACATACAGATTAGCTGTCAACAGAATAGGTCCCTAGGCCTTTTGGACCATAACTCTTGCCATGGAATCTGCTCATATGTACCAGCGCTGTTGGTCCGATCCAAAGGAGCAAAACATACCCTAAGGATGAGTTAACAAAAGAAGTCATGATAAAGTGGGCGGTTGACTTCGGTTACAATACTGAATACGATAAATGGGTAAGATTATGGAACGAAGGTATGAAGTTTACAGCGTGCTCCACCTTAAGAGAAAATTGACTAAAAAAGATGTACCGGTGGTATATCACCCCGGTTAAATTGGCAAAAATGTATAAATTGAGCAATAAAGCCTGTTGGAAATGTAAACTAAAGGATGGGGATCTCTACCACATGTGGTGGGCGTGTGATAAGATGAAAAAGTTTTGGGATCTAATAAATAATGAACTGAAGAAACTTTTTAAGTATACATTTCCTAAAAAACTGGAGGCTTTTCTATTAGGGATAATAGGGGAGGAGGTGAAAAAGGAGGATCGTAAACTATTTCAATATGCTACGGCTACAGCTAGGATCCTCATGGCTCAAAAGTGGGAATTACAGGAGACCCCAACGGTGCTGGAGTAGCAGACCAAACTCTCTGAATATACAGAATTAGTTAAAATAACTTATAAAATTTGAGACCAAAAAGGGACAAAGTTTGAAGAAGAGTGGAGTAAATTTGTTGCATATATAAGAATTAACTGTAGAAGTCTAAAAACTGTAGCAGGGTTAACATAAATCCTGTGATGTGTATAGAAGGCAAATAAGAATCTGCAAGAGAAGATATAAACTAAGAAAACCGAAGCAGGGAAGGAAGGAAGTCCGGGCGTGAACTTACGCAGTGTAAATAAGATGACATAAAATGACGATTGTAAAAGATTAAGTTTTATTTATGTTTGTGAAAAAACTAATAAAAATATTGGGGGGGGGGGGGACCAAAAACATACCTTTTCTGAGGTGCACCCTTCTCAGCGAATTGATAACTGATGATTTCCCCACATTTGGCACACCAATGACCATGATGCAGTTCTCCACGTTCTGGAACCAAGCAGAAAGGCCAGAAGCGGTTTGTAGCCTTGCAAAAATAGCCAACAACATAAGTATATCCATCCACAGAAATAAAGGGCAAATAGCTCAGCCGCCCCACTCCCTATCCCCCACCCCATCTTCATGCCCCACAGCAGCTGATTGCAGATGTTAATCTCCTGTCCTTATCTTGTGCTTGCAGAAATGGAACCACTGTCACCAGGCTACGGTGGTACCTCGGGTTAAGTACTTAATTTGTTCCAGAGGTTAGTTCTTAACCTGAAACTGTTCTTAACCTGAAGCACCGCTTTAGCTAATGGGGCCTCCTGCTGCCGCCGCGCCGCTGGAGCACGATTTCTGTTCTCAACCTGAAGCAAAGTTCTTAACCTGAAGCAGTATTTCTGGGTTAGCGGAGTCTGTAACCTGAAGCATATGTAACCTGAAGCATATGTAACCTGAAGCGTATGTAACCCTAGGTACCACTGTACTTGTTGGGGGGGGGGTTAAAAATGTGTAACGCTGCACAGATGCGGACAGTGGTGGCTGCCTGTGGGGATGAAGGCGGGGGGTCCTGTTACAGTTTCCATCACTTCCCCCGGAAAAGCTTCCCAGTGCTGCAGAGAAGGAATACCTGAGGCTGCCTCCTCCAGTGGTGGAGAGAAGCAGCAATTCCTCCTGTGATTTCTCAGGTAGGAGGGGGAAAGGAGGAAAGAAAGGGGGAGGAGAAAGTGGGGGGGCGAATGCAGGAAGGAGGATAGTTTTCTGGGCAGAGGCTGTAACTGTTCCCAGAACTCTACCAAATAATATCGAAAGGCGGTAGGAGGGCAAGCTCAGGATTTCATGCTCAGGATTCAATCGAGAGGCTTCACTAATTGGAAATCATTCAGCAAATAATTGCTAGTATCTCCCCACCCCTTGCATGCTCCAGAATATAAATTGCATTTTTAAAATGCCATGTTAAATATTCTGTATTCAAGGGTGGAATCCCCTCATGATAATATCAACGGTACGCAGTGCCGGCCACTTTTCTTCAAGGAAAGAAAGCACTGACTACATACAATATAACTGACCTCATCCCTCTGGTACCGCGGACTGTTGCTGATCAGTTCTGTGACATGGGGAATAATCTGCAAAGAAATAAAAGAGCAGTTTCAGTGGAACTACTGTTGGGCTACTCTTGGCCCCTAAATGAGGGAGATCAACAGGACTACTGGTCCGTGTCTCTCTCTTTTTTTCAATCCCTCAAGTTTAATAAATCTGCTAAGAGACAGGGTCTCACCATTTCAGCCGCTAACAAGCAAGATTTTAGGATCGAAAATTTCCACTCCTAACCTACCTTACCAGAATATAACTTTGCTCTGACAGCAAAGTAGTACCTTTTGGATATTTTCATCTTTCAGGCAATCCGTGAAGAGGACGTTCCTAAAACCTTGCTGTTCCAAACATTCTAGAATCCTCTATAAACATATAAAGAAGAGATTTATGAAATCGGGGAGCGTGAAGAAGATGAGAGTTATTTATACTGTTTATTTATAAAGAACGTGTATCTCGCCTTTATTCACAAAGTAGATACAAGGCAGCTGACAACTTGAATTAGCTCAAAAGAACAGAACAATTTAAAATCCAGTGAAGGAACAGTATAAAACAATACAGCAGAGACAGAAAAAGAAAGGGGGAGAACCCATGTCAAAAAAGAACTTTGAAATGTACCTTTAGCTAGAAAATGTCCAATGGAATAAATCAGTTTTAAGTCTTCTTTCAATGCAACTGCAATTGCCTGGGGAGGTGATTTCATAGACCGGGCTCTCTGATGGAGAAAGCCTTTTCTCCAGTCCTCACTTGCTGAACCTCAGTCAGCATGAGACAGCAAGAAGGGCCAGAGAAAATACGAATTTTATTTCTGTCTTGCCTCATGATTCAGAAGAAATCCCAAGACAATTTACATTAAAGATAAGTTCCAAGGTGCCCAGTTGGAAAACTCATGCTGCTGTTTCTCAGCCTGTGAATTTGTTTGTGGGCTTGTCAAAGTGACAAATGCAGAAAGGACCTACTTGGGTCTTACCTGTTTGTGGGTTAGGTCTGCCAGATCCATTTTGTTCAACAATAATAAGTGTGGGCGGATACCTAAGGCTTCCTGCAACTGAGGGTTCCGGCCTGAGAGTGGGATGTGCATGTGCTAAGGTGCCAAAAACAGATGAGAAAAGCAGCAGCAGTATACATTTAGAAAAACAAAAATCTTTAAAAATCTAACTTACCTTCTGCTTGACCTCCCTCCCCTCTCCCTTCTGCAGTTACTTATTTCATATCCTTTTATTACTGCATATACAATTCAAATATATTTATACATTTCCCCCTTATCCTTTCCTTAGTTATCTCTTACTGCCCATGTTTATATAAATCATATTGTTTACAATATGTCCTCAAATAATCAATAATTCCCCCCCATTCTGTTTTAAAAAGTCTCTCTTCTTGATTTCTTATTCTTCTGGTGAGTTTCGCCATTTTTGCATATTCCATTAATTTTAAAAGATGAAGATGTTCCAACAGACTTTTGGGAACTGCCTGCTTTTAATGAAAAGGCTGCTGCAGTGCTGTTTTTACTGCAATTACATACTTGTATGGTTTCATTTATATATAAACGTCTATCCATCTACCTATAGCTTTAATTCTATAAATGTTTAATTGTTTTTTATTATTATTTTCCTACGTTCTTAGCTTTTCTTATGTTTATCTGTAAGTCGCCATGAGTTGTTCTCAGGGGAAATGGCGGTGGTGGGGGTGGAAAAATAATAATAATAATAACAATAATAATGATGATGATGGTGGTAACCAGCCAGATGAAATGCCTTCCCATCAGATATCAAGGAAATAAACAACTATCCGATTTTCAGAAGACATCTGAAGGTAGCCCTGTTTAGGAAAGTTTTTAATGTTTGAAGTTTTATTCTGTTTTTAATGTTCAAAATCAAATATCTTTAATACGGTCAATGACCAGCAAGCAATTTATAAAATAAAATATGGCAATATAAGTACTATTGTACTACAGATAACAATGGAGATATGGCCAAATCACAAAATTGGTACTTATGTTTATGGCCAGGTTTCGGCTTTTAAGGTTTTAAGGATTCAATTCAAATGTCACTACTGTTTATTATCGTTCCTTCGATGTTTGCAATTTGAGCTCCGTTGCTGTCATCATTGCTCGTTTTATTCTTGTTGCAATGCAACAGTACTTCGCCACAGGCCTGCTGATTTCGGGGTCTTTGTCAGCTAAGAGGTGTCTGATATAGGTGTCGTCTGTACTACGAGTTTTAATGTTCTGTTGAAAGCCACCCAGAGTGGCTGGGGAAATTAAAATAAATAAATAAATAAATAAATAAATAAATAAATAAATAAATTATTATTATTATTATTACTATTATAAATGGAAATAAACCAGCAGACAGTGAAGCTGCATGAAGATTTTTAACTCTGTGAGGGGGTAAAACTGAAGTGCCCAGGAATTCTTTCTAAGGGAAAGGATGTGTTTTAAAGGGTGTAGCTTGTGCGCATGCTGATCCCCACAAAAGGATATGCGGGCATCGTGAACCTCCAGTAAACAGTCGACCACTCGCAGACGTTTCTGCATATCCTTCAGCCCTACAAAAAAACCACCAAAGTATTAAACAAAATTGGGAAAAGGACTTTGGTATCAAATTTGAAGAGGCAGATTGGAATAGTCTATGGACACCCCCCCCCACTAAAATCAATATCAACCAGTATTTGAGTAAATCCTTTTAAGCTAATATATAGATAGAATTTAACACCCGTAATACTCAGCTATGGGACGCAGGTGGCGCTGTGGGTTAAACCACAGAGCCTAGGGCTTGCCGATCAGAAGGTCGGCGGTTCGAATCCCCGTGACGGGGTGAGCTCCCGTTGTTCAGTCCCTGCTCCTGCCAACCTAGCAGCTCGAAAGCACGTCAAAGTGCAAGTAGATAAATAGGAACCGCTCCAGCGGGAAGGTAAACGGCGTTTCCGTGTGCTGCTCTGGTTCGCCAGAAGCTGCTTAGTCATGCTGGCCACATGACCCGGAAGCTGTCTGTGGACAAACGCCGGCTCCCTCAGCCTATAGAGCGAGATGAGCGCGCAACCCCAGAGTCGGTCACGACTGGACCTAATGGTCAGGGGTCCCTTTACCTTTAATACTCAGATATATAGACAAAACATCCTCTGCAGCATGCTGGAGAGGGTGGAAGGTAATCGGCATGATTTTTCATATGCAGTGGACATGTGAATTAGTGCAACTGTTTTGGCAAAGGGTATTTGCAGAAATAAGCAAAATTACAAGTCAGGGTGTACAATACAACCCATTCCAAGGTTTCTTAACAATTTAAAAAGATATTCAGATTAAATTATTGCACAAGGAACTTATCACTTTTCTTTTGGTAACGGCACAACTGCTCACAGCAAATTAAAAAATGGGGAAAACTTGATCATGTACATATCATATAATGGACAATTGCTTTAACTGAGAAGCTAAGAGATCACACCCCATAGCTGTCAACCTTCCCTTTTTTGCGGGAAATTCCCGTTTCCTGCTGTTATTCCGGATTGTTAGATATCCCGTAGACCGTCCCTGGGACAGGTGAGGTTGCTGATCCCTTATTTTAATTTTGTTTTTAAGTTGTAATCATCCAACTTGTTTTTATTATTGCTTGTAAGCCTCTCTGAGCCCAGCCTTGGCTGGGGAGGGCAGGGTATAAATAAAAAATTATTATTATTATTATTGAGGCTGCTGACCCCTTATTTTCAAATCTGAAAGTTGACAGCTATGTCACGCCCCCGAACGATACAACTGATATGGACGATTTTGCTAATATAAGACATATCCAAATGAACACTCTGATGACTCATGCCCACCAACTATGCATATAGTTCTAGGAGAGGGGTGGAACCAACTGTTTGGATAATGTTATGCTTATATCCCAATTCTTCAAAATTAATAAAAATGTGAAGGCAAGAAGATGTGCAGGGACAAGTACCATTCCAGCAGCAGGAGAGCAGAGCTCACCCCATCAGCTCTGTTGTCACAGGCCACGCCACCTCCTCTCCCCTTCGGCTATCACCCTGGGGGCAACTGTTCCATCAGACTCCCTGGGAGTCAAAAACAAAACTGGGGGAGACAATAAGCAGGAGGCTCACTCCATCAACTTCTCTGGAGGGCCCAGCTCCACCAGGCACCTCCTGCTCCTGAACTTTGTCCACGAAGGAACAGCTGTCAGTGGATTTTGATTTTCCTCTTCCCTCCTCCTCCCTTTTTTCCTTGTGTGCTGTGCACGTGCGCATGTGATTTTAGATTTTAAGCCTGCAGTCTGGGAGTGTCTTGTTCTGATTTCATGTAAGCCAGCCTGGGAGCTTTTATAGCAGGAAAAGAGGGTTTTGCTTTTTTAACCAAATAAACAAACAAATGTCTCCCTGCTTATTTAACTTATATGCAGAATTCATCATGCGAAAGGCTGGGCTGGATGAATCCCTAGCCGGAATTAAGATTGCCGGAAGAAATATCAACAATCTCAGATATGCAGATGACACAACATCGATGGCAGAAAGTGAGGAGGAATTAAAGAACCTTTTAATGAGGGTGAAAGAGGAGAGCGCAAAATATGGTCTGAAGCTCAACATCAAAAAAACGAAGCTCATGGCCACTGGTCCCATCACCTCCTGGCAAATAGAAGGGGAAGAAATGGAGGCAGTGAGAGATTTGACTTTCTTGGGCTCCATGATCACTGCAGATGGTGACAGCAGCCGCGAAATTAAAAGACTCCCGCTTCTTGGGAGGAAAGCAATGACCAACCTAGACAGCATCTTAAAAAGCAGAGACATCACCTTGCCGACAAAGGTCCGTATAGTTAAAGCTATGATTTTCCCAGTAGTGATGTATGGAAGTGAGAGTTGGACCATAAAGAAGGCTGATCACCAAAGAATTGATGCTTTTGAATTATGGTGCTGGAGGAGACTCTTGAGAGTCCCATGGACTGCAAGAAGATCAAACCTCTCCATTCTGAAGGAAATCAGCCCTGAGTGCTCACTGGAAGGACAGATCCTGAAGCTGAGGCTCCAGTACTTTGGCCACCTCATGAGAAGAGAAGACTCCCTGGAAAAGACCCTGATGTTGGGAAAGATGGAGGGCAGAAGGAGAAGGGGACGACAGAGGACGAGATGGTTGGACAGTGTTCTCGAAGCTACCAGCATGAGTTTGACCAAACTGCGGGAGGCAGTGGAAGACAGGAGGGCCTGGCGTGCTCTGGTCCAGGGGGTCACAAAGAGTCGGACGCGACTAAACGACTAAACAAATATTCAAGCAAACAAGCCCTCCTGGCTCAGAAGGGCTTGAGCCAAGACACAGAGACGCCTCGGCCTAGAGAGGCCACGCCACAGAGACGCCTCGGCCTAGAGAGGCCACGGCCCTGGTTTCTACCGGAAGTCCGGCCTGCGCGCTACCCCCCCCCGCTCCCCACCCGAGTGGTCACCGGCCCAACGTGCCTCTCGCCATGTGCCCGGGGAACCAGTGTGCCACATCCCGGCCGCCGTAGTCGAACCGCTCCCGCCAGCCTCGGAGCGGCGCCCGCAAGAGAGACGTGAGTCGCATGTCTGCCTCTCTCGGCCTATCTCGGTAACTGCCTGTCAGGCGGCTATACGCACTTCCGGTAGAGAGGCCCGGTTTTGTTTCTACGGCAACGGAACAAAGGCCCCGCCCCACCAATCCGAGAGAGGGGCGGGTCTCTGTGACGTCAGCGGTCGGGAACGGATGCCTGCCGGCGCTCCCATAAGGCGCCCGTAAGGCACCCCAGGCCGCATGCGCAGAACGAAGAGCGGGGCCCGTCGCTGAGGCAGGTAGGGGAGCAAGGCTTAAGTGCTCTGACCCGCAAGGGTCGTACACGTGTTTCAGGCAAACGTGTGAACGCACCTTTCTGCGTAGTTTGGTTGGAAAATACCGTGTATTTTTTTGAGGGTGGGGATACAGACCTCGTGGTCCTTGCTGAGCCCTAGAATTGCACGGAGTAGGCTGATCAGTATTTTATTTTGTGGTGGTGTTATTTCTGTTGACATTAGATGGTGGTGTTGTTGTTTTTTTGCTCTGTTTAATGGAATGACTGCTAGCCATAGGAAACACTGGGGGAGCGGGAGGGAAAACCAGGATTTTATCATATACGTATGTGGGCTTTTACACCCACCCACCCACACCATAGCTGTCAACTTTTCCCTTTTCTTGCGAGGAATCCTATTCAGAATAAGGGACCCACACCCCTCAACCCAAATAAAAAGTTGAAGGGGAAGCCTTCGTCGACTTCCTCAGCCCAGCCTTAATATTGCGTGCAAGATTGTTTTAGCATTTACAGTGGTACCTCGGGTTACATATGCTTCAGGTTACAGACTCTGCTAACCCAGAAATAGTACCTCAGGTTAAGAACTTTGCTTCAGGTTGAGAACAGAAATTGTGCTCCGGCAGCGCGCGGCAGCAGGAGGCCCCATTAGCTAAAGTGGTGCTTCAGGTTAAGAACAGTTTCAGGTTAAGAACAGACCTCCGGAACGAATTAAGTACTTAACCCGAGGTACCACTGTATACAACACTGCCCCGTCAATGAAAACGCAAGTGCAGTCCATACGTTTGCAGAACAACGGGTCTGCAGTGTTGACCACTGTATTTTAGGTTAGAAATGAGAATGGGTGGTTTAGGGCACCTGTTGCAGCACAGCCATTCCTGTCTCACGTAATGAGACTGCAGACAAGAGTACTGAATGACAACCTTTGAGGGTACCTTAGTGTTATTATCCTGTCTCATGCTGGCATGTTGGCACTTAAATTGGTTAAAAACTCCTAGCTGCCATTCCAAAGTTCATTATTATTATTTACTGAATTTATATACCGCCCTATATATACCGCCCTATACAGTGGTGCCCCGCAAGACGAATGCCTCGCAAGACGGAAAACCCGCTAGACGAAAGGGTTTTCCGTTTTGGAGGTGCTTCGCAAAACGAATTTCCTATGGGCTTGCTTTGCAAGACGAAAATGTCTTGCGAGTTCCTGTGGGTTTTTTTCCCCTCCCCCCCCTTTTTCCCAAGCCGCTAAGCCGCTTATCAGCTGATCCGCTAAACCGCTTAACTGCTGATCCGCTAAGCCGCTTATCAGCTGATCCGCTAAGCCGCTTATCAGCTGATCCGCTAAGCCGCTTATCAGCTGATCCGCTAAGCCGCTTAACAGCTGATCCGTTAAGCCGCTAAGCCGCTTATCAGCTGACCCGCTAAGCCGCTAATAGCGCTAATCCCCTAAACCGCTAATGGGCTTGCTTCGCAAGACGAAAAAACCGCAAGACGAAGAGACGCGGAACGGATTCTTTTCGTCTTGCGAGGCACCACTGTACTCTCAGTATAAAGATGGATGCAGGCAGTGTTAGAAACAAGGATAGAAATTAAGCTATTTGTTACATGGCTGCTGGAACCAAGGTTACAGGAGCAAAAACTGAAAGTGTAAGCGCCACTTTATATAAGGGTGACTTGCACTGTGGCAGGGGAAGCGTCAGCAAACCTATTTTGGAGTCTGGCTAGCAGACATTTCTCCTCCTGTACTCTCGGCGCCATTGGCGGCAATTTTATTCTTGTCTCAGTTGCCCTACACGGCGACAAGATTCCTCAAAGTGCTCGCCTCCTGACAATTCCCAGTCGTAAAACGTGCCTGGCTAATTTTGAATGCTGGTGAACTTCTAGAAGGGTAAGAGAGTATTGGGAAATGATATATAATGAATTGGAAAAAAAATGTTTAAAAGTAACTTCCCCCAAAAAACAGAGTCCTTTTTGTTGGGGATATAATTCAGAGGGAAATTCCCAGGTGCCAAAAAAGATTATTTATTTATGCTGCTACTGCAGCCCGTGTTTTGTTAGCCCCAAAATGGAAAACGAGCGAGGCAACCAAAGAAGAATGGCAACTTAAATTGATGGAATACGCTCAGCTTGCAGATTTAACTTATAGAATAAGAGAACAAGAAGAATATACGTTTAAAGAAGACTGGAAAGTGTTTACTGATTATATGGGTGGAAATTGTGTTTATTTTAAAACACTGGTAGCATTAAGATAAATTCAACAGTGTAAATGAATTTTGATGGACGTAACAATGGATCACCGAATGGTTTAATTCATGTAAAATATGCAGGGATGTATGGTATGCAAAATGAACCATGGAAAGAGAAGAAGTCATTGATTTAAGGTTGTTTAAATGAATATTTTGAAATGTAAATTGCAAAATTTAATTTAAAATTAATACACAAACACACACATACAATTTCGAATGGTGGCTTATAGGGCTTTCACCATAGAGGTGCCCAAGTACAGCTAAGCAACAACCAAGCTGTGCCTAATCCAAAGTTTCTTTCTGTCCCCAACCTCAGAATGAGCAGTGAAGAGGCACCATCGGGGGACCCCCAGGAAGAGGCAGCTGCAGACGTTGCAGCTGCGGACGTTCCAGATGTGGAGCTTCCAGCTGTGGAGATTCCAGCTGTGGAGATTCCAGCTGTGGAGGTTGCAAAGGTGCCCGTCGAGGAACATGCCGTTCACATCCCGACACCACTGCCACCAGCTTCCCCCAGTGGAGAGCGAGAAAGGGGCCCCAGCCAGCGCACAGGCTGGCTCCTAGACATGCTGGATGACGTCCGCTATCTCATCTCCTGCACCAACTGGTACTAGCAGCTCTCTGTGCCTTCTGCCAACACGAGCCGGCACAACGGACAGGTCTTGGCCCAGCCTCTCAACAGGGCAGCGGCACCCACCTTGAGGAAAAGCGCCTGCAAGATCTGTGATTAAAGGTCTGGGGTGGGGAAAGAAATCTTTTTGGACATTCTTTCTGTGGGAAACTTGGTTGTCCTCTTGAGTTGCCTTGTTGCCACCTGGTGCAATTCTAATAATGTTCCCTCCGCTTCCTGTGTAAACTGCTGTTAAGTTTTGGGCAACATCCTGATTCTAGCCCGGCTAATTCTGTGCTGTAATCCCTAGAACCGCTCTGTTTGGGGCAAAACAAAAGCAACAGAAGTCACAGGTAACCTGCTTGGTCATGCATAAGATGCTCAGATGAAGGTAGAGGTAGCTGCCCCATATGCTAAGTGCGCTGATGTTTGATGGAGCATGTACACAACACACAGGCAAGTGCTTTATCTGTGAGTGCCATTATGTCTGTCCAATGCCAATGTCAGTCTCTCTCATCCTGGTAAACCCCACTAGCGATGGGTCTTAACCTTCTTCCTCACTACTGTAGCGTACTTTTAACAGAGCAAACATGGCAAGAGGAATACGAACTATATGACAGCGCTTTAACGATGAGAAGTGCAATGCTGTAACTTTGATTTTATGGGTGAACAGTGGGGAGCACAATTTAACCTCTAGGCTAGTGTTTCCTGTGAGTCACAAAGCGCATACAAGTGGGTCGCAGGCTATATAAGCCAACCCAAAATCATAACAGAGCTACCTCGGTTTAAGAACAGTCCGGTTTAAGAACGATTTGGTTTACAAACTCTGCAAAACTGGAAATAGTGTCTTGGTTTGAGAACTTTACTTCAGTCTAAGAACGGAATCCGAACAGTGGAAGGGCACCAATGGCAGGAGGCCTCATTAGGGAAAGCACGCCTCTGTTTAAGAATGGTTTTGGTTTAAGAACGGACTTCCGGAACGGATTAAGTTCATAAACCGAGGTACTACTGTACTGCTTTAATCCTTAACCGGTATGACAAATACCTTTTCAAACCTGTTGTTTTATTGACACCAGTAACTGAGTGTCGGAAAGGCTCAAGTCTTGGGAAACTCTTTCTGACAGCAGACAGCAGATCCAGGAACAGTTGTTTTGACTACAACTGCCCACTTCTGATGTGCAGGTACCAAAAGCAGCAACTACTGTACATATCAGAGGCAAGCTATAGTAGTCACTCAAAACAACTCCATGTACGAGGACCTTTTGATGAGCTGTCACCAAATCTGCCACCAGGCTTAGTTAATAGTTAAGCCAAAGGTGATTTGAAATTTGCTTAGTCAAAATTTCCCCATTACTTTCCTGCTGGAAAAAAAGAGAAGTTTGAGTGACATCGCACTCATGTCACAAAGCTGTATTTGTACAGATGCAACTCACTGAACTGACAAGTGATAGACAGGACCTTCAAATATTAATATTTGGAGGCGAGGTTATCTAAATTTTGGCTTCATGTGACCAAAATTACTGAGTTATCATTGAGTATCCTGAGTCTGCTGGTGAAGCAATATCTGTGCTGCTGCCATCTTTGTAATAAGGGTTTTTCAGCAATTATTGCTATGAAGACAAAGCACAGTAGCAGGTGATGAGTCAGTAATCTGAGACTGTGTCTGACCGCCATCAAACCCTGCATTAACCTACATCGGCAGAATGCATTGCTCAGCAAGCCATTGTCAGTTCCACCACCTCCTTTAGGTGCAACCATAAAAGTCCCTGTGCTCCCTGGAAAACTCTGTTGGATGCACATTGAGGATGCAATGGAGGCAGCAAAGAATGTCTTTGTCGCCTTCACTGCCACTGAGAAGGATCAATAATGAGTTGAAGTTATTGGTTATTAAATCTCATCATGCTGGGTACCAGCCTCTTCCAAAAGGTAACTTGTAGAGCACAATCTTGTTCATTTTAATTAAAAATAAAACCTGCTAAGGAACTTTTCAAGCATCATCAAAACGTCAGTGTGAGACTACCTTTTGTTTGCTTGTAGCTTCTAACAGTTTAATTTCATGCTAAACGTTTATAGCTCTAATTCGATCCACATTTGCTCAAAAACGCAAGACTTCTCTCATCCTTAATCTTCCGAACTTGTTTCCTCTTAACAACTAATACTTCCCCAGAGCTTGCCGTCTTCTCTGCATTTTCTATCAACTGCAGGTTTAACACAGTGGGAAGCAAAAGTCTCCCTACTTTGAAAAGACAAGGAATCTTTTTCTCCTTCCACGTCCTTTGCCTTCTATATTCGTGGGACCAAAGCATCACTTGTCAAAATACTGTTCTTTCCACTGCAATTTGCCAGGGACTATAGAACACAGTGGGACGCGGGTGGCGCTGTGGGTAAAACCTCAGCGCCTAGGGCTTGCCGATCGCATGGTCGGCGGTTCGAGTCCCCGCGGCAGGGTGAGCTCCCGTCTTTCGGTCCCAGCTCCTGCCCACCTAGCAGTTCGAAAGCACCCTTAAGTGCAAGTAGATAAATAGGTACCGCTTTATAGCGGGAAGGTAAACGGCGTTTCCGTGTGCTGCGCTGGTGCTGGCTCGCCAGAGCAGCTTCGTCACGCTGGCCACGTGACCCGGAAGTGTCTCCGGACAGCGCTGGCCCCCGGCCTCTTAAGTGAGATGGGCGCACAACCCTAGAGTCGGACACGACTGGCCCGTACGGGCAGGGGTACCTTTACCTTTACTGAACACAGTGTCTTGCTCTCCTAAAGATGCATGGTTCCCAGGTCCCTACAGCAGGGGTCAGCAAACTTTTTCAGCAGGAGGCCAGTCTACTGTCCCTCAGACCTTGTGGGGGGCCGGACTATATTTATTGGGGGGGGGGATAACAAATTCCTATGCCCCACAGATAACCCAGAGATGCATTTTAAATAAAAGCACACATTCTACTCATGTAAAAACACCAGGCAGGCCCCACAAATAACCCAGAGATACATTTTAATTAAAGGACACATTCTACTCTTGTAAAAACATGCTGATTCCCGGACCGTCCATGGGCCAGATTTAGAAGGCGATTGGGCCGGATCTGGCCCCCGGGCCTTAGTTTGTCTACCCATGCCCTACAGGGATGCCCTGCTCCCAATATACTAAAATACATAACAGACTGGAAATGTAAGATTTGTTTAAGCTATTCTGAGGCACCTGTTTTGAGAGGGGCGTGAGATGAGTGGCTCTTTGATGTTTTCGTGTGAAGACCGACAAAATTTAACGAAGTACTACACTGCCTCAGTATGAGAAAACAAATGCAAAGATTCAGCTGAGTGCTTTCAGGGCAAGAAATTATATTCCAGGACCAGAAAACAGGGAGTTAGCTAATCATTAACACTGGATGTTATTTGTTACACACAGTGGAAACTATGTCGTTTTGCAACTGTGATTCCAGTGATCAACTCGAGAAAAATAATTCCCCCAAGGCATTTTTATCTCTTTTAAAAAAACTGGGTGCCCGGGGCGGTAGTTATACTGACATACCATTTTTAATGATTACTTGGGAGCAGGAAAAGAAACCACTGCTATCTCAGCTTTTGGCTTACAATGCAGCATGTGGCGATTCGGACATATTGTAGATGTCAAGGAGACGATCCGCTTCTCTCCAGCCTGACAACAAGGCACCATGAGTAGTCGAATAGAACGTGCGATGTGTAGCTTCTCCCGCAAACAGAACCTGTGGCGGCTGCAACAAGAAATAGCAGTATTAGTTTAGCCCTGTTTGGGTGAAAACCCGTTAGTGGGAGGCAGAAAAGTCAAGAGGCATGGAAAATCAAACAATGTCTCTGTTAACGCAACGTCCTTCATGTGCCTCCTCCTGGAGAAGTCCAGAGGGTGGCAACACGAGAACAGGGCCTTCTCTGCAGTGGCTCCCCTTCTGTGGAATGCTCTCCCCAGGGAAGTCTGCCTGGCGCCTTCATTATACACCTTTAGGCACCAGGCAAAAATGTTCCTTTGGTTGATCTGATTGACATCCTGTGCCCTTTTAAAATGTGGTGTGTGTTTTTTTGGCCGGGGGGCAATTGGGTTGTTGCTTTTATTATGAATTTTGTGGTTTTATATCTTGATTTTATTTTGTGAACCACCCTAAGACCCCCCTGGGTATAGGGCGGTAGATAAATTCAACAAACAAACAAACAAACACAGGGTGTGCGTTGGGGCTTGTGGACGTTCTGATAAGACGTTATATAAATTCAATAACAAACAAACAAACACAGGGTGTGTGTTGTGGCTTGTGGACGTTCCGATAGATACTGAGAGACAAACTCCAATACAGCCAGGAATCCAGAATGGGTTACCTTGGAATCAGATGTGTCTTTGGGAAGGGGCTGAGCAAGGGCATCTATGTCATCTCCGGAGCTGTCAACAGCCACGTAACTGTAGGATCCTTTGGTGTAAGGCTCGTTGTACCATTTTGAGCGCAGGATGTTCCTCGGAGGAGCAAGTTGTGGATTTCCTGACCCAAGTGCACAGAGAGCGGGTGAGTATCTTGCCTGCTAGCCCCGATTTCAAATGAAGTACAGTGGTTACATACACTTCAGGTTAAAGACTCCGCTAACCCAGAAATTAAGAACTTTGCTTCAGGATGAGAACAGAAATTGGGCTCCGGCGGTGCAGCGGCAGCAGGAGGCCCCATTAGCTAAAGAGGTGCTTCAGGTTAAGAACAGTTTCAGGTTAAGAACAGACCTCCGGAACAAATTAAGTTCTTAACCCGAGGTACCACTGTACCTTTAACATCACGAGATGGCTGTGTTAAGCAAGCCACTTCAGCCAATTTACCCAGGACACTGGGACATGGCTAGATAAGCAGCAAGGGATGCGGTTGGTGCTGTGGTCTAAACCACTGAGCCTTGGGCTTGCCGATCGGAAGGTCGGTAGTTTGAATCCCCGTGACGGGGTGAGCTCCCGTTGTTCGGTCCCAGCTCCTGCCAACCTAGCAGTTCGAAAGCACGTCAGTGTGTAAGTAGATAAATAGGTACCACCCTGGCGGGAAGGTAAACGGCATTTCCGTGTGCTGCTCTGGTTTCGCCAGAAGCGGCTTAGTCCTGCTGGCCACATGGCCCGGAAACTGTCTGCGGACAAACACCAGCTCCCTTGGCCAGTAAAGTGAGATGAGCGACGCAACTCCAGAGTTCTTTGTGACTGGACTTAACTATCAGGGGTCCTTTACCTTTTCTAAAGCAGCACCTTTACCTTATCTAAAGCAGCACCAAACCTGAACTAAAGCGGTTCTTCCAGTGAGAACAGACTACTTCGGCTTCATCAGGTTTAACTGAGATTTGACAATTCAAAGAAAAACAGGGACCTAGGAATTATGTATAGCAGGGGCAAGGGAACCTGAGGGTCCCTCCAAATGTTGTTGGACTCCAACTCCCATGAGCCTCAGCAACAGCCAAAGCGTTTCCAGGCATAAAGCATGGGTTGTGATTGGCTGTTGAGCCCCTCAGTTCTGCAATTAAAAACCACCTGAGCCTGGTTTTAGGGAGTTTCAATGAAGCTGCACCCACCTCCCCGGTACAACTGAGGACCACCCATCTCAGGATAACATAGAGTAGATCATCTTGTCAGTCACTTTTTCACCTCAAACTCCTAAACCTTTCAGCCTGCATTCTCAAAAGTAGAGAATATCTTGGCCATAAATACCTAGTTTTCAGAGAAGATAGGTTAGGAAAATCTATTGGGCACCTTCTTGACACTCTATTTCTCTTTTAAATCAGAACCAGTGAAGGCAGTGAAGGTCCTGTGTGAGTGTCTGGAGGCGGTTGGAGGATGGATAGCGGCTAACAGATTGAGGTTGAATCCTGACAAGACAGAAGTACTGTTTTGGGGAGACAGGGTGGGCAGGTGTGGGGGACTCCCTGGTCCTGAATGGGGTAACTGTGCCCCTGAAGGACCAGGTGTGCAGCCTGGGAGTCATTTTGGACTCGTAGCTGTCCATGGAGGCGCAGGTCAATTCTGTATCCAGGGCAGCTGTTTACCAGCTCCATCTGGTACGCAGGCTGAGACCCTATCTGCCCGCAGACTGTCTCACCAGAGTGGTGCATGCTCTGGTTATCTCCCGCTTGGACTACTGCAATGCGCTATACGTGGGGCTACCTTTGAAGGTGACCCGGAAACTACAACTAATCCAGAATGCAGCAGCTAGACTGGTGATGGGGAGTGACCGCCGAGACCATATAACACCAGTCTTGAAAGACCTACATTGGCCCCCAGTACGTTTCCAAGCCCAGTTCAAAGTGTTGGTGCTGACCTTTAAAGCCCTAAACAGCCTTGGCCCAGTATACCTGAAGGAGCGTCTCCACCCCCATCGTTCAGTCCGGACACTGAGGTCCAGCTCCGAGGGCCTTCTGGCGGTTCCCTCACTGCGAGAAGTGAGGTTACAGGGAACCAGGCAGAGGGCCTTCTTGGTAGTGGCACCCGCCCTGTGGAACACCCTCCCATCAGATGTCAAAGAAATAAACAACTATCTGATTTTTAGAAGACATCTGAAGGCAGCCCTGTTTAGGGAAGCTTTTAATATTTGATGAATTATTGTATTTTAGTATTTTGCTGGAAGCTGCCCAGGGTGGCTGGGGAAACCCAGCCAGATGGGGGGGTATACATAATATATTATTATTATTATTATTATTATTATTATTATTATACAAAACTAAGAGACATTTTGCAAAACTTAGGCCAGCGGTTTTAACAGAATAACGCATTTTTGCACCCCTTGTTCCGACGCTTGCGAACAGCTAAGAAGTCATGCGTACCTGTTGCTCTACGAAATACTTCTGTTAATGCAGAAAGGACTTCTGCGTCTGTGAGGGTTTCCATGAATTCAGCTTCTTTCCCAGCAATGAAACCACATAAGATATGTCCGTATCTGGTATGGTAAAAGGAGAAAGGCTTTTTAGAGTCCACAGATGCTGGTCCTATTAGTTTCATCTTCATAAAAATCCATTTTTTTGGAAGTGGTAGATTTATGAAAGTAGATTTCAATGCTGTATGTTCATACACACACTTTATTCTTAGCTATTCTAACAGTTTCCCCAATAATTTAGAGCAATTTACCTAAGAGGACAGCGCCCAGCCTAAGTGGCTTAGAGTTTCCCAGATAATTTTTATTATTGGTGGTGTGCTGGCCATTTTTCTGTCAAATTGTATGGAGTTGATTCTTATATATTTTAAAAATTTGCATACCACCCTTCATCCATAGATCCCAGGGTGGTTCGCAACACAAAAATACAAGATAGAAAGCACAAAATTTTTAATTATTCTTGTTGACGTTTCTGTAGCTTTGGACTGAAGTTCCTATTTGTTATGTACTGAAGTTCTCACCCTGGGCCAGCAGGGGGGTACTGTAGATAGTTATGCAAATGAAGGATCGAAAGTGACGTTCAGTGATTGGATAGTTTTAGAAAGTTGTTACAGTAACGTTGTACTGGAGCTCTATATAAGCAGGCTGACTGAGACCTTCAGCTCAGTTCTGTTCTGGCCTCTGAATAAACAAGAGCTGTTTGAAGAATCACTGTGTCGTCTGATATGTTCACCCACAACTTAACACTATTGGGGTTCTTTCCTGAGCACTAGTGGGTTTTGGTGCACTGCTACTATTTAATCAGTAAGATAAAAACCACTTGCTTAGTTACTGCTATTTAACACAGCTCCTAGAATCACAGAACTGTAGCGCTGGAAGAGACCCCGAGGGTCATCTAGTCCAACCCCCTGCAATGCAGGAATCTTTCATGCGACATGAGACTCGAACCCACAACCCATAAGAGTCTCATGCTCTACAGACTGAGCTATTTGTCCTCTTGAAATAACCCCTCATACACGAGTACCACTTCTTTGGTGTAAAGAATTCATTTGGCATATCTGATTTTTTTCCAACAAATTTGTGTAATCAAGTCATCCAGGCTAGAGGTCAGGAGCTCTGAGGTCCAGGGAGGGTCTAGCTCTCCTGAGTCCTGCCAAAGACATCTGCATCGCCTTTTTTAGATTCTTTCTTTCTATATTTTTGTTTGCATATCTCAGCAGCCATAGAAATGCTGCCCAAACGTCTGCTGATAACCCCACATCAATTTAATGCAGGGTGGATTTAACTTTTTTTTTTTGAAAAATCAGATTTTTTTAATTTAAAACAATTTTTAAAAATTTAAATCAGATTTTTAAAATAAAATGCTTTTGGAGGAAAAATCTTTCTAAAGATAGTTTTCTATTTAAGTTACATTATAGTCCAAAGGCTTTTCATCAGGAAATAAGGATTTCTTTTAAGTTTTTCATGTGTGCTAAAACTCAGTCTAAGTTTTTATTTTATTTTTTTTAAAAAAAGTTTAACCACGTCGTTAACAAACATGGATACATATGCAATAATGTTATTGCTTGAGTTAAATAAATTGTTTAAATTGTTATTCAGGAAATGATTATTTTTCTCCTTCCAATAAAGTACAGCACAAAAGTTGTCCAAATATAAACAGTTAACTTATTAAACCTCACAATAATGTCATAATTATCTGTCTATGTATTTCTAATAGTATAACCAAATCAGTAATTTCTGATGTAACTGTAAAAACTACTCTGAAAATTTATTATTCCAAAAATGAAACCTCCCTCTGGTTGTAAATATTAAGATTATACCAGCAAGAATGAGTCTTTCTGTAAAAAAAAATGATTTAAATTAAGTCTTACTGACTAGTGATTTAAATGGTGATTTAAATCAAATTGATTTAAATCAAATCCACCCTGGTTTAATGCAAAGACCCAACTTGTTTGCCTGATCTGCATGTGATAAGCTTCCTGTGTTCAAACAAAACAAAACAAAACAAAACAAAACAAAACAAAACAAAACAAAACAACAATAATAAATCCTTCCAGTAGCACCTTAGAGACCAACTAAGTTTGTTATTGGTATGAGCTTTCGTGTGCATGCACACTTCTTCAAATGACTTGTTCATGCAACCCATTCCAGTCTGTCTTTCCCATGTACCTCTCTGTCGGATGGAGAACAACAAAGCCAGCAATCTTCTGGTACCAAATAGCCTCCAAGTCGGCGGGTGGCTCAGCCAGGGGCGATTCTCCATCCCACACCACCTCAACCATCTGACAGTCCGCCTCCCAGAACGGCTGCTCAAATTCCACAAAGATTTTGTTGTTTGTCCCAAAGCCCAGCTTTTCAACTGCAGCCACCTTCCGGGACGGAAGCGGCGGGTTAAAAAAGGTTTCGCCGTGTTCTTTGAGGAAACCTAGGGAGAAGGAAAAGACATGACAGAGATTAGTAAAAGAACAGACTTTGGGGGAATGTGCCCAGGACCAGACTGTACAAATGCTTTAGTAAGCACTGGGGGGGGGGGGGAATCATCTCCCCATAGGATTTACAGAAGAGTTCTGGATTTGTTACCGACCAAGTTCCTGCTGCTGGAAAACAAGCCATGACTTAGAGGGGTGGGTCTCCCTGTGAAGCCATAAGCAAGAACGCCACAAGATCAAGGGCAGGGAACCTTTTCCGCCCAACAGACTCATTCCCTTCTGGCAACCTTCTGGGGAACAAATATGCCTGAGGTAAAACTGAGCAAAGAAGCTGGTGCAAATTCTACCTTCGTTCAGTAGGTACATGCCCTGGTTATCTCCCACTTGGACTACTGCAATGCGCTCTACGTGGGGCTACCTTTGAAGGTGACTCGGAAGCTACAACTAATCCATAATGTAGCAGCTGGACTGCTGACTGGGAGTGGCAGTCGAGACCATATTACACCGGTCCTGAAAGACCTACATTGGCTCCCAGTACGTTTCCGAGCACAGTTCAAAGTGTTGGTAAAGGTAAAGGGACCCCTGACCATTAGGTCCAGTCGTGACCGACTCTGGGGTTGCGATGCTCATCTCGTTTTATTGGCCAAGGGAGCCGGCGTACAGATTCCGGGTCATGTGGCCAACATGACTAAGGCGCTTCTGGCAAACCAGAGCAGCACACAGAAACGCCGTTTACCTTCCCGCCAGAGCAGTACCTATGTATCTACTTGCACTCTGACGCGCTTTCAAACTGCTAGGTTGGCAGGAGCAGGGACTGAGCAATGGGAGCTCACCCCGTTGTGGGGATTCGAACCACTGACCTTCTGATCGGCAAGTCCTAGGCTCTGTAGTTTAACCCACAGCATCGTTGGTGCTGACCTTTAAAGCCCTAAATGGCCTCGGTCCAGTATACCTGAAGGAGCGTCTCCACCCCCATCATTCAGCCCGGACACTGAGGTCCAGCACCGAGGGCCTTCTGACGGTTCCCTCACTCCGAGAAGTGAGGTTACAGGGAACCAGGCAGAGGGCCTTCTTGGTAGTGGCGCCCTCCCTGTGGAACGCCCTCACATCAGATGTCAAGGAAATAAACAGCTATCTGACTTTTAGAAGACATCTGAAGGCAGCCCTTTATAGGGAAGTTTTTTAACGTGTAATGTTTTATTATATTTTCATATATGTTGGAAGCTGCCCAGAGTGGCTGGGGCAACCCAGTCAGATGGGCAGGGTACAAATAATAAAATTATTATTATTGTTCTCTCTACCCACAAGTGCACACCCCCCCACCCCGTCCAAGCAATCAAGAAGACTTGCAAAGCTCATTTCATCCAGGGGCAAAATTTCACGGGTGTGTTTTTGTGTGTGCCAGGCTTGCAAGGGCATGGCAAGGGGAGAGGCTTTGAAGATGGGAGCCTGGGAAGATTTCCTAAATTGACCTGGCGGCAAGAGTGTGGGGTTGAGAGGAAGGACAAGCAGTTAAAGTCAAACAATCATTTGTTAGATCCATTTACTGCTGTTCAGATCCTTGCATGCAGAAATGGGATGGGGGCTCCTCCACATGAGACTACCTGCTGCTAAACCGATGGTTGGAATCAGAGCTAAGAGTTCTGGAGAGAAAAACAAATTTCAAAGGCTGTCTCACATTCAGAACTGAAGAAACTCTGCTCAGTGTTTGGAGAGAGACTCCCTTGTCTAGCGCCTCTCAGATGATCCTCTCCTCAGCCCAAATGTCTTTGAAGCTCACTTCATACCCAGAAAGATGCGATGAATGCCAACCATGACCACCCGGGCAACCGTAAGGCCCTCTACCGGCTTGATGGCGTGCATCTTTCAGATGCGGGAAACGACATGTGGCTGACTGATATAGCAAAGGGGGTAAGGGATTGGTTTCAGGCATGAGAGTATTGGCGGCGAGCGAATGCTCGTGTGGCGGTAGGCATTGGTAAGAAGGGGTTAAGAGGATGTGGGGGGGGAGGAATGCCATCACCTCCCCCCAGTGAGCGAAGGGTGGTCCGTTAAAGGACTCCGGGGGGCGTGGCCCTGTCCGAAGCCTATGGAGGTGTGGGCCAAAGGCACGCCCCCGAGCGGTGACCCGGGGGAGCTCCTAGTCGACGTGCTTCGGCGGGAGACTCCCCCGATATAGTGTTAACCCTTCCCCGTGTCTCCAGCAAATGGGCTGGAGCCGGATAGTCGTTAGGACCAATGCCTAAGCCAATGCCTCTCATTCCTGAATTCAATAAAGTTGTGGCCTAATTCGCCCATTTAACCTTAAACCATGGTGTCTCGTGTCTTTATTTATCCTGGTGGGGGGCGGGAACTCGCCACACAATCAGAAAGCCAAGGAAATCTCACCTAGAGGCATGGTGACGATGACATGGTCTGCGAAGAACTTCTCGCCATCTTCACATTCCACCTGGACTCCGAAGGTTCGGCCTGCGGGAGCCTCTTCCAAGCAGGAACTATTCCAGTGAACTGTCCTCACCGGCTTGTCAAACTGCACAGTCCCTTTGGGCAGAGATGCCAACAGGCAGTCTATGAGGCCCTCGTAACCACTACGGAGGAGAAGCAAGACAAAATGAGGTAGCCTGGTCTTGGACACGTTTCCGAACACAATTCAAAGTGTTGGTGCTGACCTTTAAAGCCCTAAACAGCCTCGGCCCAGTATACCTGAAGGAGCGTCTCCACCCCCATCGTTCAGCCCGGACACTGAGGTCCAGCGCCGAGGGCCTTCTGGCGGTTCCCTCCCTGCGAGAAGTGAGGTTACAGGGAACCAGGCAGAGGGCCTTCTCAGTAGTGGCACCCGCCCTGTGGAACGCCCTCCCTTCAGATGTGAAGGAAATTCCTTTCCCTCCCCCACATAGGGGTAGTTAGCTAACAACATGAAGCGAGATAAGGTCCAGAACAAGTGAAGGAAAGGGAAATAAAATCAGGGTTGTTGTTCATTTTAGCAGGAACTGGGGGGGGGGGGGGGACTGAGTTTCCTTACCTTAAAAAAATTAAATAATTACTTTTATTTTTTCTGTGGGGGCCTGAGCCAAATATCCACCTACATCTGTACTCAATAAAGTTGTGGCCCTTTCTAATCCAGACCATTGTCTGCTTGAGTTTATTTATCACACCTTACATTTAGCCACTACTGGCAGGCATGGCAGTGCAACTGGGCCTGCAATGAACAAACAAACAAACTTTCCCCCCAGGAAAAAACATGTCCTCCGTAAACTTATATGTGCAAAGTAAAGGTAAAGGACCCCTGGATGGTTAAGTCCAGTCACAGGTGACTATGGGGTTGCGGAGCTCATTTCGCTTTCAGACTGAGGGAGCCGGCGTTTGTCCACAGACAGTTTTCCGGGCCATGTGGCCAGCATGGCTAAACCGCTTCTGGAGCAACGGGACACCGTGACGAGTGCCAGAGCGCACGGAAATGCTGTTTACCTTCCCGCCGGAGCGGTACCTATTTATCTACTTGCACTGGTGTGCTTTCAAACTGCTAGGTTGGCAGGAGCTGGGACAGAGCAATGGGAGCTCACCCCGTCATGGGGATTCAAACCACCGACCTTCCAATTGGCAAGCCAAAGAGCAGGGATCAGCAACCTTTTTCAGCCGTGGGCCGGTCCACCATCCCACAGACCATGTGGTGGGCTGGACTATATTTTGGGGGGGAAATGAACGAATTCCTATGCCCCACAAATAACCCAGAGATGCATTTTAAATAAAAGCACACATTCTACGCATATAAAAACACGTCCATGGGCCGGATTGAGAAGGTGATTGGGCCGCATGCGGCCCCCGGGCCTTAGCTTGCCTACCCCTGCCCAAGAGGCTCAGCGGTTTAGACCACAGCGCCACCCATGTCCCACTTGCAAAATCAAGCCACAGCCGGGATGTCCGATCAGCCCATCCCCAAGGGAACCATAGAAGCCAACCTATTGTTTAATGAGAGCCAAGCGCGGGTGGCGCTGTGGGTGAAACCACAGAGCCTAGGACTTGCCGATCAGAAGGTTGGCGGTTTGAATCCCCATGATGGGGTGAGCTCCCGTTGCTCGGTCCCAGCTCCTGTCAACCTAGCAGTTCAAAAGCACGTCAAAGTGCAAGTAGATAAATAGGTACCGCTCCAGCGGGAAGGTAAACGGCGTTTCCGTGCACTGCTCTGGTTCGCCAGAAGCGGCTTAGTCATGCTGGCCACATGACCCGGAAGCTGTATGCCGGCTCCCTCGGCCAATAAAGTGAGATGAGCGCCGCAACCCCCGAGTCGGTCACGACTCGACCTAATGGTCAGGGGTCCCTTTACCTTTAAGCGGGCAACCACTCACTTGGGAAACGTGCAGTCCAAGCCAGGAAGCATGGTGTACTCCCCGAAGGGCCCCAAAGCCACCAGGTCCAAGCTGTGAGTCCCACTCACGCAGCATTCCAGCTTGAAGAATAAGTTGAGGACGGCCAGCTTCAGCCGCTTGGTCTCCTCATCATCTGACCATTCTCTCACCTTCCGAGCGATCGCCTCTTTCAGGTACTCGCCCACGCTGGGCACAGGCACTTTGGCCGCATGCACGAACTCGCGCGCTTCTTCCAAGAGAGCGAAGAAGAGCAACCCCATGGAGTCAAGGATGTCAGGACTTAGCAACTGGCCCCGACTGGAGAAGCAGGCCGAAGGCCCCAAGGGGTGGCCCCCGATTTCCACCTGCTGGTTTTCCTCAGACATGGCGGCCTCATCCAGGAGTCCATGCTCCGATGCCAGCTGGAAGACAGGGTTCTCCTTGGAGGGCCCGTGAATCCAATGGGCACCTATTTCAATCACCTTACCTCCTAGAAGGAAGGAGGGAAAGAATCAGCCTTCCAATGTTTCCACAGCATCAAGCCTCAAAGAGACTAATCTTTTAAGGCCTGCTTATTCCAGCTATCACACAAGGAGGGAAACCACAGTTCTCAGATGCTTGGAGCCTTCAGACTTTTGGAAAAACCTCAGCAGGAGTGTTTGTAAATTTGCAAACGGCAAAATGCTCAGGGTTTCAGCCAGCCATGTCCTCTTCCAAAAAGCTCCACTCTGTTCCTCCTTTAGTGCCTCCCCTTCTCCCCACAACATGCTCACATCTCGACTGGACAGTTTTTGTGTCCTCACCTTATATGTTTTATACAGTGGTACCTTGGTTCCAAAACGGCTCAGTCTACGAACAAATCGGCTCCAGAACACCACAGACCCAGAGGTAAGTATTCCAGTTTGTGAACGTTTTTTGAAAGTTGAACGTCCGTTTCGGCTGTCGGCATTGTTTCCGGGACCAACCAGCCTTGGTTTTTGAATGTGTTGGAAGTCAAATGGACTTCCAGAACGGATTGAGTTCAAGAACCAAGGTACCACTGTATATGCTTTAATCTGGCCAGTGTGGCTGGGGAAACCCAGCCAAATGGGAGGGGTATAAATAATAGAATTATTATTATTAGTTTTCTAATTTGTTCTGTGTTTCTGCAAACCTAGAGGCTCCTCACCACCTTTCTCACACACCCCGTTGAGAATGAGTTCGCTGTTCTCCAAGACACTCTCCTGCAAAAGAGGCCTGCTGCCTAAAATAAAACCTGAAGGAGTGTCTCCACCCCCATCGTTCTGCCCGGACACTGAGGTCCAGCGCCAAGGGCCTTCTGGTGGTTCCCTCACTGCGAGAAGCCAAGTTACAGGGAACCAGGCAGAGGGCCTTCTCGGTAGTGGCACCCACCCTTTGGAACGCCCTCCCACCAGATGTCAAATAGAACAACTACCAGACTTTTAGAAGACATCTGAAGGCAGCCCTGTTTAGGGAAGCTTTCAATGTTTAATAGTCTATTGTATTTTAATATTTTGTTGGAAGCTGCCCAGAGTGGCTGGGGAAACCCAGCCAGATGGGTGGGGTATAAATAATAAATTATTATTATTACTATTATTACTATTAGGGTTGCACTGAGCAGCACCAAATTCTGTGCAGGCTTCATTTACTGCTACTGTTGCCAAAACTAGAAGCAGTTTGTTGTGGAGAGTTCTGGCCATGCCAATTCTTCCCCTTCAGCAACACCGGAGTGATCCTTTGTCTAGGTCAGGGGTCAGCAAACTTTTTCAGCAGGGGGCAAGTCCACTGTCCCTCAGATCTTGTGGGGGACCGGACTATATTTTTTGGGGGGAGAAATGAACCAATTCCTATGCCCCACAAATAACCCAGAGATGCATTTTAAATAAAAGCACACATTCTATTCATGTAAAAACACGCTGATCTGGACCATCCGCGGGCCAGATTTAGAAGGCAATTGGGCCAGATCCAGCCCCCAGGCCTTAGTTTGCCTACTAAGGCAGGTTGCCTGCATCCATCCGCCCCCAGTCAAAACTGCTGGAGACTATAATGGAAGAAGCAGATCTTTGCTTTTAGGCAAGAGAGCAGATGGGTAGAGGGGGAGAAGATGGGAAAACACACAGTACCACCTGAAACTAGGGCTATGTATACGTTATGATTTGCCCCCTGTATTTGAAGCCATATGCACAATTCGCAGCTATCCTGTAGTTTCTTGAGAAACACTGGTGTTTCGTGCATTTTCTACCCCTCAAACCAGTTTCCATCCGACTTCCTCACCAAACTTGAAATGCAAGGGGGCCGGGGGGCCGGGGATTTCAAGCCACTAATGTGTACATTGCTTAAAGGTAAAGGGACCCCTGACCATTAGGTCCAGTTGTGGCCGACTCTGGGGTTGTGGTGCTTATCTCGCTTTACTGGCCAAGGGAGCCGGTGTTTGTCTGCAGACAGCTTCCGGGTCATGTGGCCAGCATGACTAAGCCGCTTCTGGCGAACCAGAGCAGCGCACGGAAACGCTGTTTACCTTCCCACCGGAGCGCTACCTATTTATCTACTTGCACTGGCATGCTTTCGAACTGCTAGGTGGGCAGGAGCTGGGACCGAGCAACGGGAGCTCAGCCCGTCGCAGGGATTCGAACCGCCGACCTTCTGATCGGCAAGTCCTAGGCTCTGTGGTTTAACCCACAGCGCCACCCGCTTGCGTCCCTGTACATTGCTTAGGTTAGGTGTAAAATTTCAGCCCTGCTGCTGCTCTCCAAAGTACGTTTCTGGGGCTGCAGAACAGAGACCAAGCATGGCTTGCCCCCATGGCTTGCCTTCTCTGGCAACGGTGATGAGGACTTGCAGAGGATGAAGGCTGTGCTGGATTTGGGGGGGGGTTTGTTGTTGTTTTGCAAGAACACAAGTGGGTGGGAAAGTGAAGAAATCAGAAAAGCATGAGAGCAGCAGCTATGCTCAGGCTAAGAAAGAGGGTTCTCAGTGACTCAGTACATATTAGCAGATTAGATCGCAATGGTTTGATTCACTTGATTAGTGAATTGCATTTTCAAATGAATATAATCCAGGATCCTGCTGAAAGGGGGGGGAAAACACCAAAACCCTGCTGCCCACTTAATTCACAGTACTGATGAAAATATTTTAGTTGATTTATTTAACCAGTTGCAACCCTAGCAGGGAGCAAAAACAACTGAGAAACACACCTGCTCCAGCCACTTTCCTCAAATCAACCATGGGAGAAGTAAACCTTTTCATTCTTGAATGCCAACATATGTGAATATTCTAGGCTACTCAGGGAGGTAGGAATCTGACCCTGACCCCAAAGAATATTATTTTAGAGGCTGTGTGTGTGATGGGGAGCACTCCAAAGTAATCATGAGGAAACACACAACAACAAGAAGCCAGGAGGGTGGAGAGACACGTGTTTCAGCATCGCTCAGTTGGTTAGATAACACCAAGGTTGCAGGTTCGATCCCTCCCTATAGGGGCCAGCCGCATATTCCTGCATTGCAGGGGGTTGGACCAGATGATCCTCAGGGTCCCTTCCAACTGGCCAGTTCTATGATCGGGTTTTCTCTCGGGAAAAGCGCAAAGGGGCGCAAAGTCCGCTCCGGCGCGCCTCGCGTTGCGCGGAAGGGTTGCGCCCGCCCTCCGCCCGCTCTCCCCGGTCCCGCTTCCCGCCGGCCAGCCGCCTCTTACGGAGCTTCCCGGAGCGGATGCGGCCCCCGGCTCGGCCCGTGGCCTCCAGGACGCGCACGCCGCCCAGATGCCGGCCGCCCCGGCGAAGGAGCCGCTGAGCCGCGCCCAGCCCGGCCAGCCCCGCGCCCACGATCAGCACCCGCGGCCGGACAAGAGCTCGCCCGACCCTCCGCTCCATGGCTCTCCAGGGCGCCAGGCGGCTTCTCCCTCGCTCCCTTCCGGGAAGGAGGCGGCCAAGCTTTTAAAACCCTCGTGATCACGAGGAAACGCGGAAGTCTTTGGCCTCTGCCTGCTGCGCTCCGGCTCTGGTGCGCTCTCGTGGCGGCGCTTGGAGACGATGCGCGGAAGGACCGTGGGAAAGCGGGAAATGCGAAAAATAAAAATAAAAAATTGCGCCGGGGTTAAATCTCTAGAAATCTCCATGTGGGACAAGAAGCTGCAGTTAGAACTGGATATGGAACAACTGATTGGTTCGAAATCGGGAAAGGAGTAGGACAAGGCTGTATATTGTCTCCCTGCTTATTTAACTTGTATGCAGAATTCGTCATGCGAAAGGCTGGGCTGGATGAATCCCAAACCGGAATTAAGATTGCCAGAAGAAATATCAACAACCTCAGATATGCAGATGACACAACCTTGATAGCAGAAAGGGAGGAGGAATTAAAGAACCTTTTAATGAGGGTGAAAGAGGAGAGCGCAAATTATGGTCTGAAGCTCAACATCAAAAAAACGGAGATCATGGCCACTGGTCCCATCACCTCCTGGCAAACAGAAGGGGAAGAAATGGAGGCGGTGAGAGATTTTACTTTGTTGGGCTCCGTGATCACTGCAGATGGTGACAGCAGTCACGAAATTAAAAGACACCTGCTTCCTGGGAGAAAAGCGATGACAAACCTAGACAGCATCCTAAAAAGCAGAGACCTTGCCAACAAAGGTCCGTATAGTTAAAGCTATGGTTTTCCCAGTAGTGATGTATGGAAGTGAGAGCTGGACCATAAAGAAGGCTGATGGCTGAAGAATTGATGCTTTTGAATTATGGTGCTGGAGGAGACTCTTGAGAGTCCCATGGACTGCAAGAAGATCAAACCTCTCCATTCTGAAGGAAATCAGTCCTGAGTGCTCACTGGAAGGACAGATCCTGAAGCTCCAATACTTTGGCCACCTCATGAGAAGAGAAGACTCCCTGGAAAAGACCCTGACAAGGAGAAGGGGACGACAGAGGACGTGATGGTTGGATAGTGTTCTCTAAGCATGAGTTTGACCAAACTGCAGGAGGCAGTGGAAGACAGAAGTGCCTGGCGTGCTCTGGTCCATGGGATCACGAAGAGTCGGACACAACTAAACGACTAAACAACAACAACAACAAAATCCAAGCCTTCGACAATATAAGTGCAGTGTGAGAGCGCCTGCTCTCTTGGACCTTTTAAACTGGCAATTTTTAAATAAAAGCGCCTTAAAACCTCGAAACTCACAGAGCGATGCGGTCATTTTCTGCACGCTAGAGATGACTTAGAGGCTGGATCCTAGTTGGAAGGATCATCTAGTCCAGGCACCCCCAACCTTCAGCCCTCCAGATGTTTTGGCCTACGACTCCCATGATCCCTAGCTAACAGGACCAGTCCTCAGGTGATGGGAATTGTAGTCCAAAACATCTGGAGGGCCGAAGGTTGGGGGTGCTGGATTCTAGTCCAACCCCCTGCAATGCAGGAATGTTCTCAGAAGTATCCATGACAAATAGACATCCAACCTCTGCTTAGTGTTTTAGCCCCCAATGCCCTTCCCCAGATGTTTTGATAGGAATAAAACAGGTGATTGGGGGGTATAAATAATTATTACAGTGGTGCCTCGTGTTAAGTACTTAATTCGTTCCGGAGGTCCGTTCTTAACCTGAAACTGTTCTTAACCTGAAGCACCACTTTAGCTAATGGGGCCTCTTGCTGCTGCCGCGCCGCCGGAACACGATTTCTGTACTTATCTTGAAGCAAAGATCTTAACCTGAAGCACTATTTCTGGGTTAGCGGAGTGTGTAACCTGAAGCGTATGTAACCTGAAGCGTATGTAACCTGAGGTACCACTGCATTATTATTTTTATTATTATTATTAGCCTGGATGAAGTAATTGCAAGCTAGGGCAATGTTGTGCAATGTAAGGAGCCTAAGGCTGCATTCCTTTCCTGAGAGTAAAGCACACTGAGTTGTTGTTGTTGCTACTGTTGTTGCTGTTGTTGTTGTTACTTGAATTTATATTCTGCCCTATACGTGGAGGTCTCAGGGTGGTTCACAGAACAAATGCAGTTGTGCTTCCTTCTGAACCAAAGTGTGCTGTACACAGTGGGTGGTGCTGTGGTCTAAACCACTGAGCCTCTTGGGCTTCCCGATCAGAAGGTTGGCGGTTCGAATCCACGCGACAGAGTGAGCTTCCGTTGTTTTGTCTCAGCTCCCACCAACCTAGCAGTTTGAAAGCACGCTAGTGCAAGTAGATAAATAGGTACCGCTGCGGTGGGAAGGTATATGGTGTTTCTGTGTGCTCTGGTTTCTGTCGTGGTGTCTCCATGCACCAGAAGTGGTCTAGTCATGCTGGCCACATGACCCGGAAAGCTGTCTGTGGACAAACATCAGCTTCTTTGGCCTGAAAGTGAGATGAGCGCTGTAACCCCATAGTCACCTTCGACTGGACTTTACCGTCCAGGGGTCTTTACCTTTTACAACAGAGGTCAGCAAACTTTTCCATCAGGCGGCCAGTCCACTGTCCCTCAGACCTTGTGGGGAGCCGGACTATATTTTTTTTTGGGGGGGGGGAATGAACGAATTCCTATGCCCCACAAATAACTCAGAGATGCATTTTAAATAAAAGGACACATTCTACTCATGAAAAAACACGCTGATTCCCGGACCGTCTGCGGGCCGGATTTAGAAGGTGATTGGGCCGGATCCTGCCCCCAGAGCCTTAGTTTGCCTACCCATGCTTTACATCAAGCACTTTACATCCGTGGTTACATCCAGTGACGTGTTTATCGAGCACTCTTCCTGATTCAGTTCCACAAAGTTTGTGCGGAGGCTAGACAATGCCGGCTATTGATTGAGCATTCACAATCAATGACTTGCAGGGTGGTTATGCAACATTGCATCATAGAATCTTAGAGTTGGAAGGGATCCTGAGGATCATCTAGTCCAACCCCCTGCAGTGCAGGAATACTGCCCACAGGTGTCCCTGGGTGGCCTCGAACCACCAACCTTCTGGTTAACAGCTAGGCACAATGATACATTGTATGCCACGGGAGGCATAATTGTTATCGCACACTTTCCGGTGCATTTTCCTGACTTCCTTTTCAAAAGTAGCCTGCTTTTCTGGGGGTGGGGGGAATGGGTTTGTTGTTCAAACAAACCACCTTCAGTTGCAAAACTTGCGTTTGCTGGTATAGTGGTACCTCGGTGTCAGGGAACTGCCATCAGTGTCCGAGGGAGAGAGCAAGCTCCAAATGGATCCCAGAGAGCGTCCCGGGAGTGGGAGAGGCAGCCGTCTTCTGGGGAAGAGAATCAACGTAGCTCCAGTGGAGAAGGGGGGCAGATGGGTGAATCGGCGAGGCGGTCCCATGACTCCTTGCCGGGGACCAGCGGGGAGAGGAGGGGTCCTCCACTGCCTACGCCCTCCTTGCGCAGAAGGCTTCCGCGCAGGGAGAGTAGGAGGAGACTTGGCGTCAAAGAGCTTCTTTGCTGGAAGAAGTTTAAGAAACGTCCACTGACGGATTTTGCCAGTGATTGAGACAGTCACGGGCGTGTGGCTGCCCGGACAGGAAAGGTTCACTCAGGCAACCCAGCCAGGTGTTTGCACCGGCTTACGCACGAGCAACCCCTAGAACCATTACAAGGGCTAATTCTGTTTCTGATGATAAAAACCCATCTGTTTCCATCGAAAAAGCTTTCAGGGGAACATTTGCAACAGTTTGCCACGATTTTTGAGAGAATTGCAAAACGTCAGATTTTTGCTGAAATTGTGACCGCGCGTCTTAGGGATTTTTTTTTTAAAAAGTTCTTCCGCAAGTTCAGACATCGAGGGCTAATTCTGTTTCCAATGATAAAAACCCATCTGTTTCCACCGAAAAAGCTTTCAGGGGATCGTTTGCAACAGTTTGGCACCATTTTTGAGTGAATTGCAGAAGGTCAGATTTTTGCTGAAATTGTGACCGCGCGGCTTAGGGATTTTCTCAAAAAAAAGTTGTTCACACGTCGAGGGCTAATTCTGTTTCTGATGATAAAAACCCATCTCTTTCCACCAAAAAACCTTTCAGGGGATCGTTTGCAACGGTTTGGCACCATTTTTGAGTGAATTGCAGAAGATCAGATTTTTGCTGAAATTGTGACCGCGCGGCTTAGGGATTTTTTTTAAAAAAAGTTGTTCGGCAAGTTCAGAAATAGAGAGCTAATTCTATTTCTGATGATAAAAACCCATCTGTTTCCACCGAAAAAGCTTTCAGGAGAATGTTTGCAAGAGTTTGCCACCATGTTTGAGTGAATTGCAGAACGTCAGATTTTTGCTGAAATTGTGACCACGTGGCTTAGGGATTTTTTCAAAAAAAAGTTGTTCAGATGTCAAGGGCTAATTCTGTTTCCGATGATAAAAACCCATCTCTTTCCACCAAAAAACCTTTCAGGGGATCGTTTGCAACAGTTTGGCACGATTTTTCAGTGAATTGCAAAACATCAGATTTTTGCTGAAATTGTGACCGCGCGTGCGTCTTAGGGATTTTTTTTAAAAAAAGGTTGTTCAGACGTGGATGGCTAATTCTGTTTCCGATGATAAAAACCCATCTCTTTCCACAGAAAAACCTTTCAGGGAATCGTTTGCAACAGTTTGGCACCATTTTTGAGTGAATTGCAGAACGTCAGATTTTTGCTGAAATTGTGACCGCGCAGCTTAGGGATTTTCTCAAAAAAAAGTTATTGAGACGTCGAGGGCTAATACTGTTTCTGATGACAAAAACCCATCTGTTTCCACCGAAAAACCTTTCAGGGGATCAGTTGCAACGGTTTGGCAACATTTTTGAATGAATTGCAGAAGATCAGATTTTTGCTGAAATTCTGACTGCGCGGCTTAGGGATTTTTTCAAAAAAATCTTTTTCTGCCGGGAAAGTTGTCAACGGCTGATTTCTTGTCCTCTGATAAAAAGCCTTCTGTTTCGACAGCCAAACTTCAAAGGGGAGAATCCGCAACCGTTTGACACCATTTCTGAGTGAATTTTGAGTTTGGCACCATTTTTGAGTGAATTGACGAAAGTCAGATTTTTAATGAAATTGTGGTTTAGGGATTTTTTCAAAAAAATCTTTTTCTGCCGGTTAAGTTGTTGAGGGCTGATTTCTTTTCCTGTGATAAAAAGCCTTCTGTTTCAACCGCCAAACTTCAAAGGGGAGCATTTGCAACCCTTTGGCACCATTTTTGAGTGAATTGGAGAACGTCAGATTTTTCATGAAATTGTGACCCCGGGGTTTAGGGATTTTTTAAAAAAAATCTTGTTCTGCCGGTTAAGTTGTCGAGGGCTGATTTCTTTTCCGGTGATAAAAAGCATTCTGTTTCGACCGCCAAACCTCTCAGGGGAGCATTTGCAACCCTTTGGCACCAGTTTTGAGTGAATTGACGAAAGTCAGATTTTTTCAGAAATTGTGACCCCGGGGCTTAGGGATTTTTTCAAAAAAATCTTTTTCTGCTGGTTAAGTTGTCGAGGTCTGATTTCTTGTCCTGTGATAAAAAGATTTCTGTTTCAACCCCCAAACCTTTCAGGGGAGCCTTTGCAACCGTTTGGCACCATTTTTAAGTGAATTGCCGAAAGTCAGATTTTTGATGAAATTGTGACCCCGGGTTAGGGATTTTTTCAAAAAAATCTTTTTCTGCCGGTTAAGTTGTTGAGG